TTGTAGCCATTTTTTATTTTTCTGTGCTTGTGTTCCTTCTTCCCTTTTTTCCCCTTCTTTTTACAACAGTCCCTTTTGCATTTCTTGCAATGCTGGCTTGGTAGTGATACACTCCCTTAGTTTTTTTTTTGTTGTTGTTGTCTGTGAAGCTCCTGATTTCCCCTTCAATTTTGAATGATAGCCTTGCTGGATAGAGTATTCTTGGATTCAGTCCCTTGCTTTGCATCACTTTGTAAACTTCCTTCCATTCCTTTCTGGCCTGATGTGTTTCTGTTGAGAAATTATTTGATAATCTAATGGGAGATCCCTTGTGTGTATCTTTCTGTCTCTCTCTTGCAGCCTTTAAGATTCTCTCTTTGTCCTGAACGTTTGTCATCATAATTACAGTGTGTCTTGGTGTGGGCCTTTTTGGGTTCATCTTGTTTGGGAATCTTTGTGCTTGTGTGACTGTTTTCTTCCCCACATCAGGGAAGTTTTCTGACATTAGTTCTTCAAATAGGTTTTCTAACCCTTGTTACTCTTCCTGTCGTTCTGGCACCCCTATTATTTTTATGTTGCTTCGTTTCATGTTGTTCCAAAGCCTCCCTTAGGCTCTCTTCCTGTCTTTTAATTTTTTTCTCCAATTGCTGTTCAGTTTGTGTGTGTTTTGCTTCCTTGTCTTCTAATTCGCTAATTTGGTTCTCTGCTTCTCCTAGTCTACTGTTGAAACTTTCCATAGTGTTTTTTATTGCAGCTATATCACTCTTTATTTCTTCTTGACTCTTAACATAAGTTTTTGATTTTTTTCATCCATCTGGTTTATAAACTGTATGACCCTTATTCTGAATTCTTTTTCTAACACTCCATTTCACTTAGCTCCTTTTCTGGCAATTCCTTTTTTTTCCTTTGGGGGTTTCTTTGCCTATTTTTTTCTCTCACCAAAGGATTTAGGTGTTGAGTTGTGTGGGAGCTGCTCCTCAGGCGGCAGCAGGTCCTCGGGCGGTTGCGGCAGTGGCTGCTCCTCAGTTGGCAGTGGCTCCTCTGGTGGGCGCTGCTTGCAACAGTGATGGCTCCTCTGGCTGGCGGGGGCAGGTTGCTCATGCGACTGCTGCACCTCGGATGGGGACAGGCTGTATGAGGCTGCTGCTCCTTGGAAGGGGGCGGGCTGCTCATGGTGCTGCTGCTGCTTGGATGGGAGCAGGCTGCTCACGCGACTGCTCATGTGGTCGCTGCACCCTGGGCTCAAGTGTTGGGCTGGCCAGAGGGGAGCTTGCTTTGGAACTCACAGGAGGACCTTGGGGCTTTTAAAAAATATTTACCCCTGACAGCTCATTGTACACACGCACACCCATCCTCAGCTTCCCTTCCCTACCTCCCAGGAATGAGGGAGCCACTGATATAAACAGAAGTATATAACAGGTGTTTTGGGAAAGAAGGTTAAAAAAACCTAACTACTTGAAATTAGATTGGATTCAAGCATGATCTCAAAAATGGTGAAATGGAAAAAGGACACTTTAGATAGGGAATATAGTTGATAGGCAAAAACATGAAGACAAGAAAATGTGTACATTTAGGGGAAGTAGGAGGATAAGGACAACTGAATTATGAAAGATTTTTAAGTACAGAACAGAAGAGTAGAACTCATCACTATAAAGGTTTTTGCACAGGTATCTAACAATAAAGTGCCATTTCTGAAGGATGATTATTACCCTTAGATATGGAAGAAAAGGTTAGTTGTGGTAATAGAAGCTGGCTAAGGAAGTAGTTTTGGGAATAGATGACAGACTGTTCAAGAAAAATCTCAACAGAATGTGCTTAAGGACTGCATGTTAAAGAATGAAAGTGGGAGACTACTTAAATGAATTTAAGTTAACTTGGAATATTGACAGGAATTAGAAAATGGACCTGCTAACTTTTGGTAGAAGGAGGATGGGAAGGAGTTGAATTTAGTTTTGAATATACTGTGTCTGAGTCATCTGTCAGATATTCATAAAAATAGCTAGTAGCCATTGAGAAATACTGGACTTGGTTGAAAAGTCAAAATGGGAAGCAGGGAGGGGAAGGAAGAAAGAACTCCTTTATAGTGAGCAGAGGAAGCACTGAAACTGTGAGCATGAATTAACTTGTTAGTGTTTAGAATTCTGGTTTTATTTCTTTTTATGTAGACCATGGATTCTTATGCTACCCCAGAATCGACTCCCAGACGAAGTGCATCCTCAAGGCTTAAAGATCACTTTATAGGTGCTACTCCTCTGCAGAAGCGGTTGGAATCAGTCAGGAAGCTGACTTCATTTGTCCCGCCTTCACCTCAAAGGAAAATTCCCCAGTGTTCACAGTTGCAGGTATGCTTTTGTGTTACTCAATAATTGAGAATAGGTGTGAACAGAACATCTCATTTTTTGTTACAATTTCTAGTAATTTTAGTATTTTCTTCATCCCTCAGGTAATAAATGAGAAACAGCAAAAAGAAAGTTATTCACACTGTCAGGAAGTACCTCCTTTGTTATGTCTTTTAAACCCTTTGATCTAGAACACTGCCACAATATTTCTTTGTCTTTTACGACATAGACATTTTTGAAGAGTATAGTTTTCTACTTTCCCTTTTTAAAGTAGAATATGCCTTATTTTGTATTTGTGTGCTGTTTCCTCACAATTAGGTTGAAGTTGTGTATTCTTGGCTGGGATACTATATGGGTGCTATTGTGTCCTGGGGGAATGACATTTGGTACCACATAGGTAATGTTAATTTTGATCACCCTGTCAAGGTGTTGCCCAATAATTACTGTTTTAGTTCCCTCTGCAACTAATAAGCATCTATGGGGAGATATTTTAAGATAATGCAAATATCATGTTCCTTATCGAAATTTCCCCCTAGACTTAACATCCATTGATAATTTTTGCCTGACCCCATCTTTATCATGATGGTTGCAAAATAATGACTTTCTAATCTCCCTTTACTCCGTATTTACCAATCAGCTTTTGGCATTCTATTTTAAGCCCTTTTCTCCTCCATTTGTTTATTGGAGACTTGAACTCATGAATTCCTGTTTTTCAAATTTTTGTAATTCATTACCAAGTTATTTTGGTGTTTAAATTGGCTCAGATTTATCTGGTGGCATTATGCTCTGTTTTGATCATTCGCACACGACCCTGACAGTATAAAACATTAGTAATTTGTAATTTTACTGAAACATGCAATAAAGCCCCAGGCAGTTTGGTGTGTGGTTTTGAATCACTTAGCTAGGAACCTGGCTATCAGTCACTCAGACGTTCCTGGTAACTTTGTTTTCTTAACACTGTTGTACGCACAGTATCTTTTGGGATATGAGAAAAGTTTTGCTTCTTTGTGACAACTTTCTTAAAGAAAAATTGTTAGTGCTGGTAATGAAAGTGATAGCTCCTAACCACTAAACAGAAACTGTATTAATTAAAGTTTGGAATGTCCAATTTAGTACTCCCTTATGTATATGATACAAATAATTTTGCCACACCTTTTGCCTAGTAATAAGAAAAAAACCTTATAACTTTTATATAAAAGTTTATAACTATTTCTATGAGTAACTTTGTCAGAACAGATGCTTTTGTAAATAGACAACTAGTGAAAGTTCTAAAAGATAGTGGTGAGACTATCTCACGAAGTATGAATTGTATAGAAAAATTCAATTCAGGATAAAACTAGGAACTATAGAGTGTCTGTGAAGACTCTTGCTCAGTAACGACATAGTGCCAATATAGTGTAGGTGAAGTATTTTTTAAAAAATAAATTATATTTTTATTGATTTCAGAGAGGAAGGAGAGGGATAGAGAGAAATATCAATGATGAGAGAGAGTCATTGATTGGCTATGTCCTGCATACCCCCTACTAGGGATCGGGCCCATAACCTGGGCATGTGCCCTTAACTGGAATCGAACCTGGGACCCTTCAGTCTGCAGGCTGATGCTGTATCCATTGAGCCAAACCAGCTAGGGCTGCTTTTGTTTTTGATGGTACCTGTGGTTCTAATAGAGCATGGCAAAAATACTCCCAGGTATCTTTTTATTTAATCTACCAAATTAGGCATTGTGTCATAGAATGGCATAGTGTGCCAGTCACTTTTAAAAATTAATTAAATCCAATAAAATTAGTTGCTCTAAGAATAATTATTATTTTCAAAATCTATAACTTGAAGTTTCTACAAGTGAAACATAAATTTTCATCCATTAATATTTATTGAACACCTGTTCTAGATGGCACTGCTCTAAGTCCTAGAAAGTAGTAGTGAATAAAATAGACAAAATTCATGATTTCATCAAACTCATTCTCTAGTAGGAAAAATAGACAGTAAAAGTCACACAAATTCTATATAATAAAAGCCTAATAAGCAAATCGACTGAATGGCGGAACAACTGGTAGGCAGGGGGTGGGGCTGGAGAGCAGGCGACGCCAGGCCAGCCAAGGCAGGTGCCAGTGGGCAGAAGGAGGGGACGGTGATTGGGGAGGCAGCGGCGACTGGCCATGGTGGAGGGGCAATTGGGGGTGGTGCTGGCCGCTCACCGGCCAGTGCCATCCCCCGATCGGCCTGTCGGTCACCTCTCGCAGAGGGAGGCCAGACTTTGGCTTAGGCCCACTCCTCTGAGGGCTTCTGCTCTGTGAGAGGGCGCAGGCTGGGCTGAGGGACTTCCCCCGCCCCCCCTCCCCCCCACACAAGTATACAAATTATCGTGCACCGGGCCTCTAGTATATTAATATCAGATAGTCATAAATATAAAGCATGTTAGGAGTTAGAAAGTGACAAGTTGGAGTGGGTTTAGGTGCTACTTTAGGTACAGTGGCCTTTTGAGTGACATGAAGGAAAGGGACAGGCCAGGTACTACAAAAGCAAAGGCCTGTTCAAAGATCTTCAGAGTCCTGCAAACTCCAGTTTGGCTGGAGTGCAAAGATCAGGTACCCAGCCATAGATTTATATTAAATACTATGATTAAATTCTTATTTACTAAAGTTTCCTAATTCTTAAACTTCATTTGCTGTGATTTTTTTTTTTTTTTTAGGAAGATGTTGATCCTCAAAAGGTTGCATTCCTTCTACATAAGCAATGGACCCTGTATAGTTTAACTCCCCTGTATAAGTTCTCCTACACTAATCTCAAAGAGTACTCTAAATTTCTGAGTGCATTTATTGTTGCTGAAAAGCAAAAAGGACTTGCTGTGGAAGTGGGCGAAGACTTGAACATCAAAGTGATTTTCTCTACTCTCCTGGGAATGAAAGGAACACAAAGGGACCCTGATGCATTTCTCGTCCAGGTATAGTATAGGCAATACTTGCTTGCTAGGGAAAATAATCTGCATTGTCTTGGTTTGGACACTGTGCTAATTGTTACAGTTTTTGAATTTCTTTTTTTTAAAATATATTTTATTGATTTCTTACAGAGAGGAAGGGAGAGGGATAGAGAGTTAGAAACATCGATGAGAGAGAAACATCCATCAGCTGCCTCCTGCACACTCCTTGTTGGGTATGTGCCTGCAACCAAGGTATATGCCCTTGACTGGAATTGAGCCTGGGACCCTTGAGTCCCCAGGCCGATGCTCTATCCATTGAGCCAAACCAGTTAGGGCAGTTTTTGAATTTCTTAAGCTTGTGATTTATAATCTCTTATGTCTTATTTGACCAAATTTAAAGTAGATAATAACCAACTTAAAAAAAACTTTTTCTTATTATTTCAGGATGGGGCAAAACAGAGTAGGTTTACAGTTGTGAGTAGTGAAACAGAGTTTATTCTTGTATTATTATTTATTAATTATTGTATTATTTTTTATATGAACAGCTGTAAACCTACTTTTGCCTTACCCTGTATAACATGTTTATTTTAGAAAACTTAAAAAATACATAAAGTACAAAGAAAGGTAAAAACTACAGTTCAGCATCTTGGTATACATCTTTTTGGCAGTAGATAATCTGAATAGGCCTATGTCTATTAAAGAAGTTGGATAAATAATTAATAACCTTCCAAAATAGAAAGCATCAGGTCCAGACAGGTTCGCTGGTGAATTCTACCAAGCACTTAAAGAAGAAAATAAACCAATTATCTATATTCTCTTTCAGAGGATAGAAGCAGAGGGAATACTTTCTAACTCATTCTGGGAGGCCAGCATTACCCTAATATCAAAAACAGACTAAGACACTATAACAAAAGAAAACTACAAATCAGTATCTCTCATGAGCATAGATACACCCATTTAGCTATCTGTATCTATTAAAAATTGGGATTATATTGCCCATATTTATTTGCATTATGGCTTTTTTCCTAATAATTAATGTTGAAGATAATTACTCATAAGGAATTTTACAGGTTTATGATTTTTACTGGGATTAAATTCCTAGAAGTAGAATGTTAACAAAGAAAATATGTAACTTAGCCCAGCTTGTGTGGCACGATGGTTGAGCATTGACCTATGAACTAGGAAGTTATGGTTCCATTCCCTATCAGGGCACATGCCTGGGTTATGGGCTCAATCCCCAGTGTGGGGGCATGCAGGAGGCAGCTGATCAATGATTCCCTCTCATCATTGATGTTTCTCTCTCCCTCTCCCCTCTTCTCTGAAATCAATAAAAATATATATTTTTAAAAAGTAACTTATTTTTGCATTTTGTGATACAGGTCAAGTTACTCTCAGAAATGTAACCTTTTACCTTCCTATGTGCAGTGTATAAAAGTAATATAACTAACTTTTGATTTATTCAGAAACTGAATTTATTTTATTCATGCCTGCTACTTCTGTTTCTGGGGTAATTCATCTTAGTCATTGATAAGTTAAATTCTGAAACAGTTGAACAGACCTAATTTGTTTATTTGTTACACATCAGGGGTCAGCCAACCATGGACTGCATGGCCAAGTCTGACCCACGGCTTATTTCTGTAAATGAGGTTTTATTGGAGCAGAGCCCATTTCATTTGTTTATGAATTTTCTATGGCTGCTTTTGTGCTACAATAGCAAAGCTGAGTATTTGCTATGGCCCACAAGCCCTAAAATATTTGCTATTTGGTCCTTTACAGAAAAAGTTTGCTGAGCCATGGTATAGGTCATGGTATTTGCAAGGATCTCAAGATGCCTAGGATTAGATTCAGCTGCATATGACAGAAAGCTTAAATAATAGCAAATTAAACGAGATAGAGGTTTATCTATCTTACAGAGGTGTACGTAGGTAAGCTATTCGAGGCTGGTATATATATATATGCTTTATGATATTAATAATAGGCCCCTTCTCTCTTCTCTCTTATCGTTGGTGTGTGACTTCCATCCTTAAGGTGGCTTTATAGTCTAAGATGGCTCTTGGAGCTCTAGATATAGGCAAGTGTCCGGCAAAAATTAGAATGGAGATGGGAAGGGCCAACAGGATGCCTACCACTGCATAAATCTTTAATGAAACTTTCTGAGATCCAGAAACTTCTCTTTATTTTATTTTTTATTAAAAATATTTTTGTTGTTAATCCTCACCCGTGGATATTTTTTCATTGATTTTTAGAGAGAATGGAAGGAAGAGGGAGAGACAGAGAGAAACATCGATGTGAGAGAGACTCATCAATTGGTTGCTTCCTACACATACCCTGACCAGGGCAGGGATACCTGCAACCAAGGTACATGCCCTTGACCAGAATTGAACTTGGGGCCCTTCAGTCTGTGGGCTGATGCTCTATCCACTGAGTCAAATTTAAAAAATATATTTTTATTGATTTCAGAGAAAGGAAGGGAGAGGAAGATAGAAACATCAATGATCAGAGAGAATCATTGATAGGTTGCCTTCTGCACACTCCCTACTGGGGGATCGAGCCCACGACCCGGGTATGTACCCTGACGGGTAATCGAACCATTACCTCCTGGTTCATAGGTTGATGCTCAACCCCTGAGCCATACCGGCTGGACTCATTTTGCTTTTCAATGTTAAAATTTTTCATATTTAAAATTTACCTAAATAAATGAAGCCCTAGTAAAATCCTCACCTGAGGACATGCTTAGAGAGAGTTCAAGCACATTGCGTTTGGTGACCTCTCACTGCTCCTTCTAAAGCTGAGATCTTTTTCCCCCTGATGCTGTACTTGGTTGTACCATATCGGTAGTTTTTATTTTGCATTTTGGTTGTACGAAGATCTTGCCATATAAGTGTCTCTAGTGTATAAGAATATTAGGAAGCCGCCTATGCCGCCTGCTGAAGCCAGTGCTTCTGTGTGGTGCCCGGCGTGGCCAGCACCATGCGCGCCTCCCGTGACCACTGGCACTGTGCTCAGTCAATGCACGAGTTCTCAGCCAAGGACATCGACGGGGCATGGTTAACCTGGACAAGTACCGGGGCTTCGTGTGCATTGTCATCAACGTGGCCTCGCAATGAGGCAAAACAGACGTAAACTACACTGAGCTTGTCGACCTGCACGCCGATATGCTGAGTGTGGTTTACGGATCCTGGCTTTCCCTTGCAACCAGTTCGGGAGGCAGGAGCCAGGGACTAATGCCGAGATCAAAGAGTACGCTGCCGGCTACAATGTCAAATTCGATATGTATAGCAAGATCTTTGTGAACGGAGATGATGCCCACCCTCTGTGGAAGTGGATGAAAACCCATCCCAAGGGGAGGGGCATCCTGGGAAATGCCATCAAATGGAACTTCACCAAGTTCCTCATTGACAAGAATGGTTGTGTGGTGAAGCGGTATGGTCCCATGGAAGAGCCCCAGGTCATAGAGGAAGACCTGCCCTGCTACCCTTAGCTCCACAAGTGTGCACCCCCACATCTGAGCCCACCGCCTGCGCCCCTCAGAGCCTTCCACCCGGCACTCATGACAGTCTTTCTAAAAACCAGCCTGCTGGTGGGGCAGACCCGAGAACCCGGCATGCTCCTCTGCCGGAGGAAGGCCCCTCGGCCGGCCTGGCTCGCAGCTCTGCACCCCCACCCCTGGCTGCCTTGTGGGAATAAAACTTACAAATTGAAAAAAAATATATTAGGAAAAAGGTCAGTGAACTTAATAAAACCTAATAATGATTAGGGACACTGTTCTTTGTTTTTTCATAAGTAATGTCTTCGTAGTTTTAAATGTACTAATTGATTTTGAGGTGATGTAATTTAGGAGTAAATGTACTTTTAAACTTAATGAACCTGTTTTCTTTCTTTGTAGATTCTGTCAAAATCTCAATTGCCATCTGAGAACAGAGAAGGTAAAGTGTTGTGGACTGGTTGGTTCTGCTGTATATTTGGAGACAGTCTTTTGGAGACTGTTTCAGAAGATTTCACCTGCTTACCCTTATTCCTTGCAAATGGAGCAGAGACTAATACAGCCTTAATTGGAACCTGGTTTCAGAAAACTTTTGACTGTCATTTCAGTCCTTTAGCAATCAATGCATTTAATCTTTCCTGGATGGCAGCTATGTGGACTGCATGCAAAATGGACCATTATGTGGCTACTACTGAGTTTCTTTGGTCTGTACCGTGTAGCCCTCAAAGTCTGGATATTTCTTATGCCATACATCCGGAGGATGCAAAAGCTTTGTGGGACAGTGTCCACAAAGTCCCTGGGGAAGTTACCCAGGAGGAAGTTGACTTGTTCATGGACTGCCTTTGTTCACATTTCCATAGGCATTTCAAAATTCACTTATCAGCCACAAGATTGGTTCGCGTTTCAACATCTGTAGCTTCAGCACATACTAATGGAAAAATAAAGGTTAGTTTGAACAAATCTAGTTAAGTAATTTTTCTTATTGTTGCATAGTTTTCAAAATGTATGGTGATTGTGTTTTCCACATGGACTAAATAAATTGAATGTCTGCCAATAGAGACATTTTATTTTATGCTTTATAAAAGATTTATAAAAATGTTTAGCCTTTTTGATTCAGCTTTTTTATTAAAAAATTCATTTTTAGAGAGAGGAAGGGAGAGGGAGAGGGAAACATCAGTGTGAGAGCAAAACATGAACTGACTCCTGCATGCCTCCTACTGGGGATTGAGCATGTGCCCTGACTAGAAATTGAACCAGCAATTTTTCAGTGTACAGGATGATGCTCAACCAACTGAGCCACTCTGGCTAGGGCTTGATTCAACTTTATTATGGAAGGATACTATGTGTTGTGTGCTACAGATTTTGGAAATAATATGAATTACTCTGTAGTAACTTTGAAACTTTCAAAATAATTTCTTGTCAAACTTTGAAGTAATAATCAGATAACAGGATTTTGTTAGATAAGGAAATTATAGCCAGAAACATATAACTAAGATAATCATTTTCATATTTTAGGCTTTTCTATCCCTGCTGGAAAAGAAGTAATAAAGACAACCCTGACCGGTTTGGCTCAGTGGATAGAGTGTTGGCCTGCGGACTGAAAGGTCCCAGGTTTGATTCCGGTCAAGGGCATGTACCTTGGTTGCAGGCACATCCCCAGTAGGAGGTGTGCAGGAGGCAGCTGATCAATGTTTTTTTCTCATCGATGTTTCTGGCTCTCTATCCCTCTCCCTTCCTCTTTGTAAAAAATCAATAAAATAAGATAAAAAAAGGAAGTAATAAAGACATTGTTTTACTGTTCATGAAGTCCTTATTAGAGTAAGTATGAAAAACCAATTGAAAGTAGGCTCTTAAGTATATTAAAATATGTTAATATATTTAAAATATATTCATATGCAACCACCATAAACACTCAGTGAATACTGGCTTTGTCACTGTGCTAGGAGTTTAACATACCTTAATTGTAATCTGTTAGCCAGGTTTCTGCCATCTACTTTGTTTTTATAAGATACTTTTGGAATTCATATATATATATCCCTTTGAGAAGAAGGAAGCTATGCACCTCCTTCTAGAAAATGTAAATACTCAATGTGTATATAAGTTCAAGGGGTTCAGCGATGCCCTTCCTCCCCTCACTCTTTAGGCAGAGAGTTAGCCCAAGCACAGAACTCAGGATAAATAAGCACCCTAGTCTAATTACTTCTAAGCACCATTGACCATAGTTGTGAATTTATTAGACTTAGAGCAGCAATGGTTTGTTTTCATATTCATATCTTAGCTTGCAGATAGGGAATTTAAAATAATCCTGGAATATTTATCAAATACAAACTACTTTACTATCATAATTCTATTTTAATTTTAAATGTTGTCCCTTTTTTTTCTTTTCAGATTCTGTGTCATAAATACCTTATTGGAGTGTTGGCATATTTGACAGAACTGGCAATTTTTCAAATTGAGTGAGGCCTTGTGGGGATCATAAGTCATGGATTTTATACCTTTTTCTCATTGATTGATTAATTGCTATGCTGAGAAGGGACTGCAGGAGAAATGGGCATCCATCTCTGCATCTGTTTCCTCACAGTGCCTTTGGAGGTGCCTGTAGAAGCCAAGAAGGATCTAGAACAGAAGGTGGTAGGGGATGAACCACAGCCACAGCACTTCTGTAATAGTCATGACGATCAGGGGTGCCAGTCTCTAGAAAATGCTGAGTTGTTATTTGTGGGCCATCTTCCTAAAAAATAAGTAATGTTTAGTATGTCAGACGTTTCGGATTCAAATGAGAGAGCTCTAATATTCAGTATTTCTGACTTGGGTCTCTAAAACTTTTAGTTCCTTGTAAGCATTTTAGACTTGCATTGAGAGAATTTCTGTCTTGCAAAGACATTTTCCTAGTACAATTTTGCTGTAGAGGACTAGCAATCAAAAAATCTCTGCAAAGGAAACTAAAAATGAATATGGATTTTTTAGAAGCCATTAATATGCTTGTTTTTAATATTCATTTCTTATTGCAGTGTTGAATTAAATATATTCACTTTTAAAATGAAGCAGTGTGTTTATCAATATCTTGGTCACAGATGTTTAATTAATGTTTCAGGAATGGGAAGTCGAGGGCTTTTTCTCTAGCACAAAGGTTACAGACCAACAATTACGGAGAGTCATACAAATTGTACATTGGAAAGGCAGAGAGTTTCTTCATTCCCTAATTTTGCTTTAGAACAGTGCTTGGTAAATATCTGTAGATAAAATAAATGAATTTTAACCAACTCTTCCATTTTGCTGATGAAATGTACTAACTTTTGAGACTTGCCCTAGCAGTTATATCTAAATCTCTTTTTACTACTGAGAATAGAAAAGTTTTGTTTTACTTTAGAAACCATGTTTTTAAAAATCTTGTCTGGGGGAAAATATCTTTAATAGGCTATTATTCTAAAAACAAAAAACAAACTCTGGAGTGTGATATTGTTTTACATTAGGAACAGAAGAGGTAGTAGAAAAAGCATGGGCATTGGAGTCAGACATTCATTCATTCAACTAATATTAAGCTCCTACTTTATACTTAGAATTGTATTGGGTAATAAGAATATAGTAGTGAAGACAAAAAAGGTTCCTACCCTGTGGAAATTATATTCAAATGGAGGAAGGCAAAAGATAATTTCATAGGGAGATAAAACACTATAAAGAAAATAAGGCAATGAGGTGAGAAAAAGGGTGAGTGGGATGGGCCTACTTTACTTACAATTGTCGAAGAAGGGCTCTCTGAGGAAGTGACAGGGGAGCCGAGTCCTGAGTGAGGAGCAGGAACCAGCCACGTGAAGATCTGAGGACTAGTGTGCTAGGCAGGTGACACTACAGGAGCAAAGGCCTTGGGACAGGTAAGAGCTCAGTTTGAGGAACAAAGGGAACGCATGCCTGAAGCACAGTAAGAGATGGAACTGAAGAGACTGCAGCAGAAACTTCTTCCATGGTGTTATGACTCCCAGCTTTTGGCTGGGCACATGGCTGCCCAGAAACAGGAAGACATTGTCCAGCCTTTCTCAGAGGTCTCTAAGTTCTGACCCCTGTAAGTGGAAGCATTATGTAGAGCTTCCAGGAATCTGCCTTAAACACAGCAGGCATGTACCCCTTGCTCTTTTCTTCTTCCAACTTCGCTACTTGGTACACATGTAATGACTGGTACTCTAGCTGCTCTTTTAGGTCACAGGGATGAGGGTCAGGTCCTAAAGACCGGGGAACATGGCCTGGAAGGAGTTTGTGCCCTGAGGACTTTCTAAAATATAGGTATTTTTATTGATTTCAGCCTCCTGCATGCACCCTACTGGGGATCGAGCCCACAACCTGGGCATGTGCCCTTGACTGGAATTGAACCCGGGACCCTTCCATCTGCAGGCCGATGCTCTAACCACTGAGCCAAACCTGTAAGGGCCCTGAGGACTTCTTGAAGCTGAACCCTGTACCAGCCTTGGGAGGTCTTCCTTTAGACATGTGTGTCAGAGAAGTAAACTTCCATCTTGTTTTAAGCTATTGCTGTTTGGGTCTCTTGGTCATAACCAAACCTAATCCTAATACCTAGAGGCAGGATTCCCATCATCTCAGTTTTCATAGGGACTGTGAAGAAATTGGATTTTATCCTAAATGCAATGGGGAGCCCCTGAAGTTTTAAGCAGGCGAGTAATATGACCCACTGTATATTTTATAAGGTATTGGAGAAATTGTAGGGAGACAAGAGTGGAAGAGGGAAAACAGGTAAAGGGGTTTTAGAAATGGTACAGACTCTCTGGAGAAGTTAGTGTATAGTATGCTCTCTTTTATGAGGAATGGAGGAATATGTGTGTGTATTTCCTTATGTTAAAAAAGCAACAATGGAAGGGACAAGTCAAAAACTAATAAAAGTGGTTACTAATAGGAAGAAATTGGGGAGAGGAGACAGGAAAGAAAAGAAAGCCTTAGTATCTTAAGGCTTCTCTGAATGTTCCATTTATAGTTTGGAACCATGTAAGTCGTTTATATAGCTATAAAACAAAATCAGATCCAAAAGGGACAAAAAAGCAATCCTTAAAATTGAAAACAAATGAACCTAAATATATATGAAGTTCATGCTATAATCACACAAAGAACTACTCTTAGTATCTTTACTACTATTTTGACTGCATCGTTAGTGGTCTATATCCTAGGAAAAGAAGAGCAGCAAAGGAATATTAAATGTCATTCAGTTATATTTTTATTAATATTGGTATTTTACCACTATTAATAAGATGAAACGTAATTATAACAATGTTAGGAACCAAGTTTTACAGTGTAAAAGATACACAATTATAATATCAGGTAAGCTAAGTAGAAACTATACTACTAAATTTTAATTGGAAATATCAGAATGAGCTCATTTATTTTTGAAGTGCAAAAAGTTTTAAATATTGATGAAGTCTAGTTTATCAGTTTTTATTGTCCTTTTGATGTCATCTAAGAAATCATTGTTTAATCTTCAGGCCTGAAGTTTATTCTTATGTTTTCTTCTATGGATTTTATAATTTTAACTGTTAACTTTAGGTCTGTAATCCATCTTGTGTTAATTTTTATGTGTGGTGTGAGGTAAGCATCCAAATTCATTTGACATATGGATATCCATTTGTCCCAGCACCATTTAGAGAAAAGATTATTTTCCCATTGAATTGTCTGTCACCTTTCTTAAAAATCAGTTGACTATAAATTTTATTTCTGGATTCATTGATTTATAATATGTCAGTTCTCATGCCTATACCATACTGACTTGATTACTGTAGATTTGTAGTGTTTTGTAAAATCAGGAAGTATGACTTTTCTAGCTTTTTTCAAGGTTGTTTTGGCTATTCTGGGTCTTTCACATTTTTATAAGAATTTTAGCATTTGTTGGTCAATTTCTATAAAACAGCTTTGATTTTGATAGTGATTGTGTTGAATCTGTAGATTTGGGGAGTATTGTCATAATTATATTAAGTCTTCCAATCTATGAACGTGGGATATTTTTCCACTTATTTAAATCTTTCAAAATTTTCTTCAACGAAGTTTTATAGTTTTCAGTATACAAATATTGCACTTTGTTAAATTTATTCCTAAATATCTTATGCTATTGAGACTAGAATTGTTTTCTTAATTTCATTTTTGGACTGTTTGTTACTATTGCACAGAAATACAATTGATTTTGTATATTGCTCTTGTATCCTATGGTCTCACTAGAGTTGTTTACGTTAGTATTTTCAGTGAATTCCTTAGGATTTTCTATATACAAGATTTGTGTCATTTGTGAATAAAGCCAGTTTTATTTTTTAATTGCAGTCTGGATGTTTTATATTTCTTTTTTTGTGCTAACTTGTCTTGGCTACTCTTCAGTATAAGAAATAGATGCTAAGAAAGTACGTCTTGTTTCTGATGGTAATGGGAAAGCATATTTCACTATTAAATATGATGCTAGCTGTAGGTGTTTCATAGGTGTCCTGTCAGGTTAAAGATGTCCTATTTCTGATTTTTTGAGGGGTTTTTATTATGAATGGATGTTGAATCTTGTCAAATTTATTTTTCTGTATCTATTGAGATGATTCATAACTTATTTATTACTCAAAACTACACTCTTTACTTCTGGTTTCTAGTTTCATATGGAAGGAGGTTGGAAGTTGCCACTCTGTCCTAAGCAATAAGTAAAAAGGAGAACAGATGGAAAAGTCAATGACTCTTTTTAGGTCCCTAAGAGAGGGGAGGACACAGGGCAAATTGGTGCCCCCAAGACTGTAGAGACAAACAGGTGAATACAGGGAGTCATGCTCACTGGAGCAGAAACTACGTGGGAACCAGGGCCAGGGGTAAGCACACCAGAGCTGTAATTAATGAAATGCTGGAGGCTCAGTGTGGACAAATCTGCGAGTTAAAACCCCCAATGGCCCAGTTATAGAGTTGAGGAAATCACTATGTAATAAACCTGGCTCCAGTGATCACTGGCCAGTAATGTAGTTCCTGGGTCTCTGTTCTTAAATCACAGCCATATGAATTGTTCCCATTGGGGAATTCCCTATGTATAGAGAGTCTCACCTCTTGAATCTAGTTCTTATCATTCCCCTTTTCTTCCAATATAGGTAATACTAGAGCCTTGGGAAATAGGTGCTTTTGCCTTGAAGACTGGCTGTTAATGATGCAGTACTGTAAGGATCTCATATTTTTTATACTTTTTCAATGTTATTAACCAGTTAAATAAGGTTTGTTAGTGTATTTAGTTTTAGGCCGGCCTGCAGAGGCAATGGGGCACAGAAAGAAATGGAGTGGGAGTTTGGGCAACTGATTTCTAAAGTTGGTTTTATCACTGCCTACTTACTCTATGGAAGGGATTTCTGGGTTTTCACTCTTAAAGCAAAGAAACAAATGGGTCTAGAATAGATGAATTGTTGAGTCCTTCTAGCTCCAAATTCTATGATTCTAAGTCCTATACTAGAAAACAAGTGTATACGTTAGGTAATATATTAAATATTTATAATTAAATTATACAAGAGTTAAATATATTAATATAAACATTGTTATATATATTAAACTTTTGTCTTTATAATATACAACTTATAATTCTAGCTAGCAATCCCTTTTTCTTCAGATTTATTAACTTTATATAAAGGAAATATAAATGATATAGAAACAGAACATCTAAATAGTAAAGACACAAGGATTAAAAAACATTAACCAAACTTTTTTTATGGTAAGTACTCTTTATTTTAAAAAGTTATACATGCTAGAAAAAAGCATAAATGATACACGTAAACAATTGTTTACCAAATACTTTTCCTTGTAAAGGTGCAAATGATTTTTAAATGTAAACACAAAAGTTGCCAAATATTTTTTTTGTGGGGAGAAGGTTATTCCTTTTGTTGTGGATAAACTCTTAAGGTTTTCCTGCAGAAGGTCTATGAACACAATGACAAAATATTTCAACCACTGAAATTTTTAGCATTTTCTCCTTAAAACTTTTTAACTTTTCTTCAAAAAGTGCAAGAGTAGTAGCAGTGACTTTATAGAATGAGGAGGATAATAATATATAGCTGTATAAAAGAACCAAGATATTAATAAAATGCCTCAGCTGGTTTTACACCCCTTCCCATGTACTATCACGTGAACTGAAGAATTCATTCCTTGGCAGCTGTGATTACAGGTAAGCCTCAGCTTCAGCAGCCTGAGCATCAAATGTCAGTTGCACAATTCACTGCTGGGGAGAGCACATTTCTCCCTGCTGGTCCTTGGTAGCAATATGCAAATCAAAAGGAAAGTTGCTTCAGTCAGTCGGTAATGTTTTAGAGTAAAAACATGCAGAGTTGCACATGATTCTTAAGACAGTACATGAGAATCGCATACTGTTTTGTAGAGGCACACAGTAGGGCTCTAGATCTAGCAGACACTATAAAATAGTGGGGAGAAAAAACTTTAAATGTAGCAGAAAACAAGGTCATATGGAAGGAAACAAGATGCAAAGTTCCATTGATGAAAACTTTGAGGCCTGGTTTTATTGATTTAATACTTTTTAAAAAGATTTTCAAGTCTTCTGGTGCTTAGTGCAAGAATGATAGCTAACTTACACACTTTGCATTCTGATCTTTGTCACTGGTAGTCCTTGTAAGGAGTGGAATCGTGGATGGAGTGCCTAGAAATAACAGCTAGACCATATATAGCCCTTCTCCCCTTAACATTTTCAAACTTAGTATCTTAAAATTTCAGTGCTTAGAATTTTTTATTTTGGTCGGGAGGAAAGCTAAAAAAACAACCATGATAAATTAAAATCAAAAATAAATATTCTGCACAGAACTGAACATTGTGCAAAGATGGCATCCTACAGGTGAAGTACTTTGTTTGTGTTTCCATAGTTGAGGCACCGGCAAAGAATAAAATTTGTTCGTGTTTTCCCGAGCTTAGAAAGCTACAAAGTCAAAGTGCTCCAGAATACAGCAGAGCATACACACAGCTGTCTTCTAGACGTTCACCATATGTGGGACTCACAATGCGTCATTTTAATAACTCCTACTCCACCTCCCAGCCGACGGTAATTCATCCCGCCATATAACCTGCAAAGAAAGAAAATCTGATTTCTAACTGGAAAAAAACACCATTGTCTCTGTTTTAGATCACAATATTTTTAGCTTTCAAACTTCGCTTCCAAAGATTAAGAGCTGGAATTGAGCACTGGCAAGTGGCGGAATTATTTTAGATGCTGACTGAAATGCTACAACTTAGAGGGGACTGTTTTAAGAATAAAAGTAGATGGGACTTTTATATCTACTACTTTTTGCATCGTGACTATATGACTTTACACCTAGACTGACTACTAACACTTATACAGAACCATATATTCTACAATTCTGTGTCTAATTTTTGTCCTGGCTATATTATTTTCCCACCCATGTTTCTTTTTGCCTAACCTTCATGAATTGTTTTTACTGATTTTAGAGAGGGAGGAATATTGAGAGAAACATCATCAATCAGCTGCCTCCTGCACACCTCTACTGGGGATGGAGCCCGCAACCCAGGCATGTGCCCCTGACCAGAATAGAACCTGGGACCCTTCAGTCTGCAGGCCGACACTGAATCCAAACCAGCTAGGGCCGTTTGTATGTACAAACCCTTCATGGAACAAAACTGGACGTAAGTAAAGTGACATGTAAACAAGGATTTCTATGGGAAAGAATATTAACTCCTCTACCAGCCATGAGAAAACTGGTGTTAAGTTGGGGATCTATAACTACTATATTTAGTTATCTTTCAACAGATAATTCTACTTAGTTATTGAGAAACAAGTCCTTACATTAAGATATTCCCACTAAAGTTAGAAAGCTGTATGTGGAAGGAAATATACCCCTATTCATGAAAATCTGCCATTACATCTCCCTTACCTGTACTAGGCTTTGCTAGATGTTACCTTTGCAGTGAGGACTTCCTGAGCCACCCTTTACAATGGACATTCCAGTGCCACTGCAGGGGGTCAGAGCATGTCCGCCCCCTGCAGTGGCACTATGTCTCCCTCACTATCATGTCAGCTCCTGGAGGGCAGGGAGTTCTACTTGTTCACTTTTGAATTCCCAGGGTCTACAACACTCGGTGCATCTTAATGAACAAGGTTGAAGCAAAAAGGGCTACAATGTCATTAGTTGGGCTTAGCCTTACAGAGCCAGGAAAGAGATGCAGAATTCAAAGAATGTCACCTAAGTATCTGTGAAAACGGGCTTTTCTAGAGATGAAGACTAAGCAAAGAACTCGGTAAATTCATTAGTTGAATCTTATAAACAGATGAAAAATCTGGGTGGGTAGCTACAGGCACAAAATTAGAAAATGTACACTTAGAACACAACAGGATGGGCTATGAGACTGCCCCTTTTGGAGTAGTGGCTATAAAACAGACCTCAGCTGACCTTTCAGCCATGAGAAAACCTTTCAGGATGTCTGCTGCCTCAGATCTCATGTCGACTGATACCTGTGGTTGATGTGCAACCTCAACCACTGAGATGCCTACCCTAGAATTTGTTTAGGCAAAGAAGCTCACATTTATTGAAAAACAGGCCTCAAATTGTGTGGAAGGTAAAACTTTCCTTAAAAGGTTGGTATGAAGTATGTCAAACTATCAGTATTGATATTTTTATGTTAAATTTGAGAATTAATTATATTTGATACTTTAATATGCCAGTGTTTCTTAAGAACTTAAAGTATATCAGATTAATTTGTGAATCAAATGTAAAATATGTGATTAAGTAGAGATTTAAACCTCTAAACTTAAAATCATGGGTTTAAGAGAACTTTGTTAAATTTGTAAGCGTTTTGAGTATATAAAATAAATGCATGAGCCACCTGATTTATGTGAATTTATAAGAACCACTTAAGTCCTTAGGATTTGTTAGACAAAGATTTAAAAGCAAAGTAAAATTAAACCCTTAAATAAGATATAGCCTCCTCCTAAAAGTGACTTAAAACATATTATTCTATTTTAAAGTCTAGTAAATTTTAAATAGATTTTAAAAGCTCAAGGAAAAAATACTGGTTTTAAATATATATTTTTTAAAGTAATTGCAGTTTGTTTTTACTGGACACCGAAAAACGGCACTGAGAGACAAAGGTCAAGGTTCTAATTGGAACTTGGTCATTTACTTTCTCTGTGCCTCCTTTTCCTCTGCTAAACAATGGGCCTAGAGAGACCCGCCCCGCCCCCCCATTTCTGTCTTCTCAAGTATAAATCTGGACAGTTACCAAGGAGAAGAGTTTTGTAAGATGCCAGCCACTTTAAAGCAATTAAGTCAAAATAAACCACCAAATATGGGTAACTTCAGCCCTCTTCAAAAACTGCAAGAGGTAATTCAGTGCGCCGACCGCCCTGATTTTGACAGTCATGGGCTATCTCAAGCCCATTATTTTCAAGGCAGCAGTGAGTGATTCACAACATAGCTGAAAAGTTACCTCCATGTATTGGCATCAGGATCAAAAACTTCAATGGTCTTCAAGTATGTTGTGCCATCAAAACCTCCTACAGCCATGAGTTGTCCATTCACCACCGCCAGGCCAACCTGTAGACCGAAACAGTGTCTGCTAAAGAAACTGATCCCTGAGAAAATGCATAATGGTTTCTAGATAAATCTCTTTAATAAAAGATAATTCTTTATGGCCTTACCTTCTGGTTTGCTTGATTTGTTTGTTTGGTTTACTTATTATTTAATAGATTTTTGTCTGTGTTAGAGGAAAAAACAAAAATCTATTAAATTATGGGAACTAGAAAATTATATTCAATTAGGATATTTACAGAGTTCAAAACATTAAATTTTAGAAAAAGCATTCTCTGGGAGTGAACCAGAACCTTCAAATTGCTCTATTTTTTTTTGGTATTTGCCTGTTCTAATCCACTATCTAAACTGCCATGAAAGTTAACTTTAAACCAATGCTGCAGTAATACTAGATTGATTCTAGTCCCAGAAAATGCCGTACACTTCACGTCTCTGTGCTTTTGCACATGCTCCCCGGCTGCTGTTTTCCTTCCTTCTTCTAGAACATCTCTGTTCTTTCATGAACTAGCTTACATGTGCCTTTCTCTGATGAGTCTCATCACTGCCCCCCAAAGTAGTAAGCCTATTTGCCCATGCTCTCCTCTAATGCACAGGCCACTACTATACATTGGTCTTTTTATCATTAGCTGCAAACATTTTCTTTCACTAACCTGGAAGCCCTTTGAGGGGAGGAATCCTATCATACTCAATTCTGCTTTCCCAGCACACAGTAAATACTTGCTAAACAAGTGAAAATAAAATCAACAGAATGTAGCAGTGAAAACAGCAGGACTGTAACTAGACGCTGTTGAGTACCAGTAATAAAGAGCCACAGCTACGTGAATGCTTTGACCCGCTGAGCCATGCCGTGGTGTTCCCCGATTCGTGCAAACCAGAACTGACTTTTATCCTCAGGTCATGGAGCCTTCAGCCACTGCTGGGTTCTCCCACCTGTTGTGCTACATGGATGGACTCCTGACAGGATCTGGTTTATGAGTTACATCTTACTCTTCATCCAGCCGATGTCCTGGACGGATGAAGTCTAGACCCACCGTGGAAGTCTCTAGTCACTGGTCATCCATGGTCTAGAACAGCGGTTCTCAACCTGTGGGTCGCGACCCCTTTGGCAGTCGAACGACCCTTTCACAGGGGTCGCCTAAGACCATCCTGCATATCAGATATTTACATTACGATTCATAATAGTAGCAACATTACAGTTATGAAGTAGCAATGAAAATAATTTTATGGTTGGGTCACAACATGAGGAACTGTATTTAAAGGGCCAGAAGGTTGAGAACCACTGGTCTAGAATATGACAGGCCAGCCCAATCTGGCCTATACTATAAATGCGACAGACGCAAACCAGTTTGTGGAGACTGGTGGTGGGGCCAGACGTATTTCTGCCAGAACATTTATACTGGCATGCGAATTCCTTAGAAATATTAGGTAGAAATATTTAGCCCTAATAGATATCGGATGAATATGGGTGAAGTTAGATGGTGGTAGATAAGACAGGAAGATGCCTTTCAGATGCAACTTATACTAAATCATAAAAAATAAATCTCTAATGATATATCTAACTACTTGAGACAACAGCAATCAAAATAAAATTTTCCCCGGTATAGAAGTGCAGGGATTGTTTTGCCTGACCTGCATCTTCGCACTGTCCTGTGTTATGTGTTGCACGTCAAGAGTCCTGCACAGCCCTCTCTCGGTTCTGGATTTTCAAAGTTTTTAGTAGCTGGGCACTTACTCCGCTACGGCGGGATGTCATAGCCACCACCGGAGACCACTGGTTGGTTCTGGGGTTGTATCTCTCCGCACTGCTGAGCTCTGTGGTGTCGTCTCTGCCTCCCACAGCATAGATCATGTCCTGATACACTGCACAGCCCAGGTGTTTCCTGCGGGTCCCCATGGGGGCGATGGTGTGCCATCTGTTCTCCTGAGGACTGTAGCGCTCCACTGCAGGGAACAGAAAAGCCAGCATTTCCTCTCCCCTCTAGTTACCTGCACAGCCACTGAAACTGTGATCACACACATACATTTTCAATAAGTAATCTGATTTTGCTTCTGTGAAGGACTTGTATGCCATTGGACAACAGCGCTACACTCTCGTCAGGGGCTGGTGTCTTCCAGGTATGGTGTGGTGGAAAGGGCGGGCGTTGGAGTCAAGGTACCTAGTTGTAGTTCTGACTGTAGAACTCACTGGCTGGGTGACTCTTGGCCTCACTCTCTTATCTTTAAATGAGGGCATTAGAGTACATGATCTGTAAGCACCATTTTGTACTAATAATTTATTGTCTTAGACAACTCTACTTTGTACTCTCTTGCCTCTATTCCTACTGCATTCTAAGCCATTGAAAAGAAGATATTTGACAATGAATATATCCGAGTGCCACATATTTAGAAATAGAAAGGGCTAACACATAAACCAGTTTATAGCTATAAGTTTTTACTCCGACTTTGATATAGAGCAGCGATTCTCAACCTGTGGGTCGCGACCCCTTTGGGGGTTGAATGACCCTTTCACAGTGGTCGCCTAAGACCATCGGAAAACACATATATAATTACATATTGTTTTTGTGATTAATCGCTATGCTTTATGTTCAATTTGTAACAATGAAATTGGTGGTCACCACAACATGAGGAACTGTATTAAAGGGTCGCGGCATTAGGAAGGTTGAGAACCACTGATGTAGAGGGTTTTTGGTCTTCTAAAGAGAGATGGTTGGGGGGAGGGAACTAGTCATATTAAGAAAATAGTTCTTTTATTCATCATAAATTCCCAGCAGCTTGTACAGTGGAGGGAGAAAGACATATTTTGAGAATATACAAGAAGACTCTGGCCGAAACCGGTTTGGCTCAGTGGATGGAGCGTCGGCCTGCGGACTGGAGGGTCCTGGGTTCGGTTCCGGTCGGGGGCATGTGCCTGGGTTGCAGGCACATCCCCAGTGGGAGATGTGCAGGAGGCAGCTGATCGATGTTTCTCTCTCATCGATGTTTCTAACTCTCTATCTCTCTCCCTTCCTCTCTGTAAAAAAAATCAATAAAATATATTTAAAAAAAAAAAAAAAAGAAGACGACTCTGGTTGCCCAAGGAGCTGAGGAGGAGCTAAGAGTTGCCCTCCCCTAGAGGAAAAATAATTTTTTCAATAAATTACAGGGTTTGCCTGACTTTTATACTTTTTAAAAAATGTTTTGATTTTTTTTTTTAAAGAAAGGAGAGGGATAGAGAGATAGAATCATCAGTGAGAGAGAAACATCGATTGACTGCCTCCTTGCACACGCCCCTCCTGGGGGCCGAGCCCACAACTCTGGCATGTGCCCTGACTCTTGGTTCATGGGTTGACACTCAACCACTGAGCCACACCAACCAGGCACCTGACATTTATACTTTTTGTAGGGAGACTCTCCAAAGGAAAACGTGTTGCTTTGGGAGAAGCAGACTGACTCTGGAAGGGACCAACCTGTGTTGAGTGGGGATGTCCCATCAGAGCCACCTACGGCATATAAGAAGCCGCCTAGCACAGCCACAGCCACGCCTAGCCTTCGGGTGCTCATGGAAGCCACGCGAGTCCATTTGTTCTCCTTCGGATCATACCTGCAGTGAGAGAAACCACAGACTACGTGCATGTTTCCAGTAAGTGATATCTTTTTCATAAGGTGTGAAATGACCGAGATGCTGGAGGCATGGACATGCGATGGTCAGATGCACGGTGCGAATGTAACACACTTCACTAGTTTTATGGGGAAAAGCTCTTAGACCCAGTGCCTGTGTCAGTTATGAGCTATTTTGTACTCTGACTTCTGACGCCACGGCTAGTGCTTTGAAAAAGATACTGTCCTTTGCCACGCGATCAGATTCTGCCAAAAGGAAGGACTAGACACTGGACATTGAGGTAGAGGCCAATGGTTCTATTAACCATCCTGTGTTGTGGGGGGGCACAAAACAGCCCCCCACAACAAAGTATCTGGCCCAAAATGTCAGTCATGCTTGATGCTGAGAAACCCCCTTCTACGTCCTTCAGGTCTAGCTGTAGGTCCCTTGCATTTGTTCTATAATGGGAAAAAGCAAAACCCCTCTTAGCTCCATCTGTTCATACATTTCCCCCTCACGCTTTCTAGTAAACACGCATTGGCTATTGGCTGTTCTTAGCGCTATCAGACTTCAACAACTGCTTTTCCATTTTCTCCTGCACAGACAATATCATGCAGGTCTTGTGCCTACTGGTAGTTTGCTTTGCTTATGTTTTGGAATTCATGGGGAGACTCTTTCCCCTAATTTATTTTAAATGTCCACAGGGTTTTGTTTTTTTAATTGTGGTAAAATATACATAAAATTTACCACTGTAACCATTTTTAAGTGTTGAAAACATTCACATTATCATGCAACCAAGCTCCATACTTTTCCATAGTTTTTTAGCTTTGCTATCGGTTGCTGTCTTTATTTTTATGTGGGAATTTGGAGAGATTAAAAAATTATGCTATTACTACTGTTATCTTCCCAGAATCCTCTTCCACAGAATTTTTAAAAGTGAGGAAATAAGTTTGCTATTGACAGATAGCATAGCTTTTAAGAGTTACCAAAATTTTTAGACAGAGTTAAACTCTTCAACGTAAGCAGGTAACCCAACTCAAATGCCATTTCAAAAAATTCTGGAGTCATGAGCATTTCTTTTTAAGAAGTAAGGATAAAATATGGCTATGTACTTACCAGTAATCATAGCACATGAGACTCCAAATCTAATCTCTAAGACAGAGCGAGAAAAAACTGATGGGGCAGGGTATTAAAAACAGAATCTATTTCACCAAAATTAACGAATTTGTAAAAGTGTAAAGTAAACCTTGGCATCTGCCCAGATTTCCCTTAGTAACACAAGAATTAACGAGACTCCATATACAAAATATTTGGAGTCCTTATAAGATGTGCTAGACAAAGAATGACTGCTTTAATTATTTTTCTGAAAGAAGTCCGGGCAGTCTTACATTCAGTATACTCCAAGTACTGTGGGAAAAGACAGCAGATTTCAGAAGTGGTATGCTTGATATCCTATATAGAAGGCAATTTTAAAATGACCCCAACACTTTAATGTTAGGCTCATCAGTGGAGCACATAGTTTAAAAAACCAAGTTAATACCTTTCATTTTCCTAGACTTTAAGATCAACTGAAAACGTTTTCCTTAAAGCCCATGGGAAAAGTACCAAATAGTGGATCCCACAGTGTCCTAAATTGCTTCTTTTAAAGAGCCCTCTATATACCTTTTATTTTTTAAAATGTATCTGTATTGATGAAAGTATTATAGATATCCCCTTTCTTCCCCCACATTGACCCCCTCCACTCCACCTCCTCCAGGCCTTCACTGCACTATTGACTGAGTCCATGAATTATGCATATCCTATGTAATAAAAGCCTAATATGCTAAGTTCCGATCTCTCAACTGTTCGACTAGTCACTATGACCTGCACTGACCACTCTGACTGGTAGGTTAGCTTGCTGCTGGGATCCAGCCAATTGGGACTGGGTGAGACGGGTCGGACACGCCCTGGAGCCCTCCTGTGGTCCCTCCCTGGCCTGATCCGTGCACCAGTGGGGTCCCTCAGCCTGGCCTGCGCCCTCTTACAACCCAGGACCCCTCGGAGAATGTCGGAAAGCCTGTTTCGGCTCGATCGCCGCAGGCCAGGCCAAGGGACCCTCATGCATAGAGCATCTAGTATGTAAAGTTCTTGGTTAATCTCTTCCCACTCTCCATATGCCTTTTAAAACTTGAAAATAAATTGGGGAAAAAAAATCACCTCTCAACAATGTTGAGGCAAGACACACCGTCCTGGCCACCGACAGCATAAAGAAATCCTCCAAGCACTGCCACGCCAACACTTGTCCTGCAGGTGCTTGTCGGAGCCACATCACTGCTCCACTGGTTTGTTTTGGGGTCATACCTGCCGAGAACATCAAGAGCAGAGTTTGTCTTACACAAAGAAAGTATGGCTATGTTCACATATTCACTGACAAATAATAATATATATGTTCTTTCCCCTAAATATGACTAATAACTAAAGCATATAAAAGTCTAATTTATGTTGTTTTTTAATATTAATTTTGAGAGAGAGGGAGGAAAAGAGAGAAACATAGATGTGAGAAACATCAACCGGCTGCCTTCTGTACCCACCCCTACCAGGGATCGAACCCTCAACTCTGGTATCTGTGCTAACGCAATATTGAACCTGCCACCTTCTGATGTACTGGAAAATGCTTCAGCCAACTGTGCTACACCAGCCAGGGCTTTGTTTTTATTTTTTTTAAAATTCATTTTCACTTAAAAAAATTCATTTTTACTTAAAGAAGTTACATATGACTATAATTTTTTGTTTCAGGATGTTATATATAGAGAGCTACAGTTCCCTTTGAATTACATTTGGTTTCTGGTCTCTTCCCATTTTGGTGTATATCCTACAAGACTTGTCAGTAAAATACTTTAAAATAGGTATAGCCCTGACCGGTTTGGCTCAGTAGATAGAGTATCAGGCCGAGGACTGAAAGGTCCCAGGTTCAATTCCGGTCAAGGGCATGTACCTTGGTTGTAAGCTTGATCCCCAGTAGGGGGCGTGCAGGAGGCAGCTGATCAATATTTCTAATTCTATCACTATTCTCCCTTCCTCTCTGTAAAAAATCAATAAAAGTGTATTTTTTAAATGTCTTATTCCTTGAGTGGGCGTATCTCTCTTTTTTTTAAAAAAAGGTATATATCTATCCACATATATATCCTTTATATGCAAGCATGTTTTTGTTGCATAAATAATACTCTTCAGTAGGCACTGTTTCTGAATAAAGAAAAGCATGCATACCCATAGAGGAAGAGGTAGGAAAGAGGATCACATGGCTAAGGACCAGCGAATAATTTAGTGGGTCTGCAGCAGCACGTTTAGGGAACACTGGTGTGCCAGGGAAGACAGACTTGGAAAAACAGGTGGAGGTAAGAGCATAAAGGACTTGCATGCTAAGTGGTCTAGGCTGCCAACCGGTGCCACAGATGCAGTACTAACGCAGCAAGTCCTATCTGTATCCTAATGAACATCCCAAATGAAACTATATGAATTGTACAGAAGAAAATTTCACATTGACCTTACTTACCTTTCAACACTATTGAGATACGAGGATCCATCATGGCCACCCACTGCATATAACAGGTCATCAAGGACACTGACCCCAACGCCACATCGCCTTTTGCTCATTGAAGCTACCATCCGCCACTCATTGGTCTGGGGGTCATATCGTTCTACACTGGAAATGGCATCTCCACTGCACCAACCACCAACTGGGGAGGTAACGGAAATGGTCAGAATGCCCGTCCCAAAGCACAGGCTGTACCACTTACTGCCAACCTGTAAACTGTGACCAGTGCTTGGACTTAACATGTTGACTTTTACTTCGTCCACAAGGATTGCTAAAATCTTTCATTTCTAAATAAGTTAGTATAGGGCCCATTTTACAGAGACAGGCAGGATACCAATTAAATGGGATTGGGAGGTACTGTGACAAAACAGAAGACTGAATTTAGCTAGAAAGCTTGACTGTTGCCTTTACTGAGCTCTGTGATCTTTGAAAAATCCTGTAAACTACCTAGTTGTAAAATAAGAAATAAAAACTTTAAAGTGAAACAAAATACATGAAACTGCTTTTTAAAGCACAACACACTACATAAATGTAATTAAGAGCCAAAAGAACCATAATTCATAAGCCTGTTCTTTTTGTTTTTACTCTGTTAGGGGAAGGATTTTGGTTCTTCTCATGATTTCTTACTAGGTCTTCTTGTAACTAAAAATAATGCAAAAATTCTTATGACTTATTGACAAAATATTTTGCTTTTTAATCTGTAATCTGTACTGAATTCTATATTATTCAACATAATATTTTTTAAAATTGATTTTAGAGAGGAAGAGAGGAAGAGACAGAGAGAGAGAAAGAGAGAGAGAGAGAGAGAGAGAGAGAGAGAGAAAGATCAGTTGCCTTTGGCACACACCCCTATAGGCACCAAACCTACAACCTGGGTATGTGTCCTGCTGGGAACCAAACCGGTGACCTTTCAGTCCAAGGGATGATGCTCAACTAACTGAGCCACACTAGCCAGCACCTAACATAACATTTTAGATCAAAAAATGTTTTAAAGAAGTTACATTTTTCATAAGCTTATAACAAGTTCAAACTGAGTTCCATAAAGCATCTCTGAGTGCTCCCTGAAAGCATGGTTATTTGGGATACATTTGTTATTCTTTCAAACGATCTCTATTTCAATCCAAATAAGAGCTATATTCTAGAGCTTAAAAAGTGAAGTCTGAGGATGCCTTTACCTCAAAACATTTGAAACTGTTTCTAAGGGGTTTCAATAACTTCCAGAGCTAAACTAAAATAGGAATGTTTCTAACCTAGCTGGATTTGAAAAATCAGTTCTTTATTTCAAATCTCAATGTGCACACATTTTATTTTATTATGGTTTCATATAAATCAGGGTATTAAACTAATACTATGTATCCCTTTCCAGCAATATTTTCCTTAGTACACTGGTTTTCTAAAAGCCTGTGTTTTTCTTTAGTATCGAAGAACACAGTTGATGAAGTAATATTAATTTGATTTGGAACCATGTAATCTAATAAAAAGATGTTTATGACTTCCATTATAAAACTGTGTCTGAGATTTAATGAGCAGGCTATTTGATTTGTCTCAAATGCTCACAACCCTCACAGTAGGAGCCAGATTTTATTCTGGAATTTAAGATGTTTTCTCTGATATTGAAACTCCTGGCATACATCCTAGAACAGAATTCAAATTAGGATACACAAAACTTAGTGTCATTTAGTATTAGTTAAACATACTGATTTAAATGAAACCTGATTTTCCATTAATCATGACGGTTGGGTGATAATTTCTCCCTAGTCTTCTTCAGGATGAACCGATTCAGAGACAGACAATAGTAGCAAAATGATACAGCGTAAGGTTGTCTTGGGCTGCATTCAGTAAAGCTAGGAAGGCGTATAAATAACTGTTTGATGTAAGATAATGTTTTTTTGACAGTTTCATGTAATTATGAGACAACTTGCACATTGGTATATAAATTAATGCACATGACTCATTTGAACAAAACATCCACTGCAATGTGGCTTTATTTATTTATAAATAGATTTTAGGTAATTTTCCCAATTTGCTTTTATATATTCTTAAACTGAAAAAAAAAAAAACCCTCAGAATTTTATTATTTTTGGACTCAAATGCAAAGTTCCATTTATTTTCAATAATGAAAACAACACAACAAAGAGGAATTAATTCACTATTTTTAAAATCTAACACAGCCTTACCACGAAACTAGCCTTAATAAGTAAAAACACATTACTAGTTACCAAGTTAGACTATTCTTGAGACTCTCTAAGGCAGTGGTTCTCAACCTTGGCTGCACATTAGAATCACCTGGGAATCTTTAAAATCCTGATTTCTGGGCCTCATCCTCTGGAACTTAGCAAAGCCATATATAGGAAGTGCCTTATGGGTCATACCTTAAGAGTAGTCCAGCAGGAAAAAATTACTCTAACATAAAATAACTAGAGAAATTAAAATATAGTATAATTTAGGAAACACTTTTAGAATTGAGAGAGGACAGAGTAACAGATGGATATTCTGTTTCTTTGTTACTAATGTTGTGGCCTCACCCCATAACAAAGAAAGAATTTCTGGAGGATGAGGCCCAGAAATCAGGATTTTAAAAAGATTCCCAGGTGATTCTAATGTGCAGCCAAGGTTGAGAACCACTGCTCTAAGGTTTTGCCTGTGCAATGCGGTTTTAGGTTTATACAAAGAGAGTATTGCTTTAGAGAATTCCAGTGTTGGATCAGCAGGTAAGACTGAAGTTACATGACAGCATATGTGTTTCTTATGACAGTGGATATCACAACTGTCCAAAGCACTGCTCACTTGACAATTTCTCTAAAATGTTCACTTTAGTCACCATAATTAAGATCCAAACCTGCAAAAAGTACTTCTCCACAGCGAATAGGCTTCCGTGGTCTTGTCCTTGGTCCTTGCATTAGTGGTCGTTCTTGGGGCAACAGAAGATAGTTTTTAGCCTCATCTACCAAGTCTCTGTGGAGAAAATTCTGCCTTTATTTCAAGTGTCTAAATAACATTGTTAGTCAAATCCCAGCATAGTTTAGGAATAGGTAATTTGGCAATGAGATCAAGCATAAATCAAACCCTGAACACCAGCCCACATTAACAAGGGTCACAAACGTGAGAGCAATGATGCCAGTCACACTCGGAGTCGTGGATTGATTAGTATTTCCATTTTGCCTTCATATCTCAGTGCGAATGTACCTCAACATGCTTGGGGCCAATAATAACTTGAGGAAAATACCAGTGTAGGACTGGTCTTTTACAACTAGATTACCAGCCTAGTTATTGCTTCCTCATAAATTTTATTAGATTCTGCAGGATACTGGCAAAGCAGCACATCAGCCGTAGCACAAAATGTTTGCTAAATTAAGGTAATAAAACTAGGTCAAAAATTAGACTGTTGTTAAAAAGAAGCATGGTGCCATCATTTAATATTGATTTGCTATCTGGTACTGTCTGAATGGTTTACTCTCAACAGCTCTACTGAGGATGAAGAAATGTTTTTTTTTATTAAGTTATTTTATGAGAAGAACCTAGTAATTGTACCTAAAAAATATCCTAATGCACACTACTTCTGTATGTACTTATTTCACTTGAGTCCTCTGCGTGACACAGTACCTGACTAGTGCATATCCATCTGTTACTCTGTCCTCTCTCAACTCTAAAATGTTTCCTAAATTATACTATATTTTAATTTCTCTAGTTATTTTATGTTACAGAGTAATTTTTTCCTGCTGGACTAGTCCTCAGGTATGACCTAATAATGCACTTTCTATATATGGCTTTGCTAAGTTCCTCTGAGTTTATTTATCTTAAAAATAAAACAAACAAAAACCAAAAAAATCTCCCGATGATGATGAAGAGCCTTTTCTAGCTTTCTCGGCCTTAAAAACAGAGACAGTGATCTCCTAATAGCTGGGTTTTTTGTTTTTGTTTTTTTAAAATATATTTTATTGATTTTTTTTACAGAGAGGAAGAGAGAGGGGCAGAGAGTTAGAAATATCGATGAGAGAGAAACATTGATCAGCTGCCTCCTGCACACTCCCCACTGGGTATGTGCCCGCAACTAAGGTACATACCCTTGACGGGAATCGAACCCGGGACCCTTGAGTCCGCAGGCTGACGCTCTATCCACTGAGCCAAACCGGCTAGGGCGATATAGCTGGTTTTTAATTAGGTTTTCAGGGGTTCCTAGAAAGAGTACCATAGAGCTGATACTCAGCAAACCAACCCACAATTAATAATAACAGCATTTACAGCCATGTGCTGCTGTACGGCACACTAGTTCACTAATCCCCACCACAGTCTATGAAATTGGTGCTATTACTATCCTAACTTTATAGATGAAGAAACAGTAGCAGAAAGAGGTTAAAGTGACTTGCCTAAGGTCACAAGGCTGGTAAATGCTGAGGTCAAGATATCAGGAAGGGGCTTCTTTGACAAGTGACTTCACCTTTATTTTCTGCATCAGAATCAGTACAATCTGACTTCCGTTTTATGCACAAGGGGCACCTTTGTATTGTTTCTTCAGATTTCAGCATCCATAATTCCTATGGTTTTCCTGCAGGTACTGTCAATATCTAGGGGAAAAACTGCCACTTGTCTGTTTTTTAAATTTAAAAGACAAAAATCTAAAGCCTCTCTAACATCTGTTAAAGGGACAAACTACAGATTACAGAACAAATGCAAATGCATCTACATGTCCTTCCCGTTACAGGTATTCCTGATTTTAGTTAAGTTCTGATAACCCACTACCACTGGACCAGCCAGTGGCTTCTTGATTTTAGAACATGTTTCTTCAGTGTAAGTTAAGGAGTTCTGAGTACTAACTTGCTCTTTTATGAAAATGATTAAAATGAGCATGTTTCTTCAGTGTAAGTTATGAAAATGATTAAAATGAGAAAATGATTAAAAACACCACATGGCTTCAGATTTGAACCTAAATCGTAAAATCTGTCAAACTGGGATAATTTATTACATTTCATATACATTACAGAGATAGCCCAATAAAGGAGGTGTCTTGTTTGCTTTGTAAAAGCGTTTATAAAGCTACTTCAAAAGTGTGGTAGACCTTTAACTTTGTCCAGTCTCAGAAAACAAGGCCAGTCCTATTCCCTAATTGGGCATATATGATGGAATGAAAATGTGCTCCGGACACACTTTTTGACAAAACCAATAGCATTATTTACCTCAAGAAGAAATATATTAGCAGAGACTTACCTCTTCTAACACAAGCTTGCATTAAAATCTTAGAAATCTACATCTTTATTGGCACTTCTACACCAAAAAACACAATACATTACAAAACTAATGGGACAAAATACTGGAAGTTCTGTCCTCTCTTCATCTCCTCTTGACCCGAACCAAGAATAAAAATCTGTTGAGTACTCTGCTTTCAGCACTAGGAGACACGCTAGTTAGGCAGCAATAGAAACACGAAAATTAGGAGAAAACAGGAACTCTTGGCGGCTGATTTTCCCGACAGCCATTCATACCTGCATTCTTCATCGCTCTTGATGAGGGGATCAGAGCCCACGGTGCCCACCAGGAACTTGGGACTGAGCAAAGGTAGACGGACATGCTGGAGCACCTATGAGAAAAGGAACATGCTTACAGGCTGAGTGCCCATCTGCCAGGTTTTTAAGAGAATAGGTGCTCCCCTATTGTATTTCAATTGTTTGGGGATCTAATTGAATCAACTTACCAATTGATCTAATTAATATATAATGAAGAGGAAGGGAAGGCATAAATACTAAAACTAAATTCAATTTATTCTAACCACCAACTCAGTAATTAGAATAATCAGAAAACAAAGCACAGTAGTATCACTTTAGGTCAGTGGTTCTCAACCTGTGGGTTGCAACCCCTTTGGGGGTCAAACGACCCTTTCACAGGGGTCGCCTAAGACCATCGGAAAACACACATATAATTACATATTGTTTTTGTGATTAATCACTATGCTTTAATTATGTTCAATTTGTAACAATGAAATTGGGGGTCACCACAAAATGAGCAACTATATTAAAGGGTCGTGGCATTAGGAAGGTTGAGAACCGCTGCTTTAGATGTTACTTGAAGCTTTCAGCAATATATTTATAAGCTCTTCTACAATTAGCTTATTTAACTGGACTCTAATTAAAAATCTAGAAGAATATCCTATTAAACTGCTAAAACCTACAGTCATAATAAGAGTATCAAACATTTCATTTAGTGACCACTTATGCCTCATATTGTCCCTTTATTCTTGAAAATGGCATGGGATTTCCAAGCCATAGGGAAAGGAAGCAGGACAGTCGCCTTCCTTGCTCTCTTCTGTTCATTTTGTACCATTTAGGACCTGTGGGTTGTGACCCCTGAAAATACATCCTGCATATCAGATATTTACAGTATGATTCATAATAGTAGCAAAATTACAGTTATGAAGTAGCATCGAAAATAATTTTATGGTTGGGGGTCACCACAACATGAGGAACTGCATTAAAGGGTCGCGGCATTAGGAAGGTTGAGAACCACTGATTTAGGTTCTGACCAGCTTTATAGCCCAAACCTAGAGTTGATGCAAAATAGAGAGGAAGCAAGGAGCAAAAAGTTTATGATAAACACATATCTCCTTGATTATTTGGAAACAGATGGTCTTTCTTACAGTCTAATATAAGGGACAGGAGTGATGCCTGCTCCTTTTTTTGCATGTCAAATACATATTATGAAAGCAGTTACTTAGAGAAGCATTTCTGTTATACCTGGGGTAACTGAGGACGTCTTTCTTGGATACTGTATTTGACCCAGGCCATCACTGCATTGAACACCTGTTCTTCACTGCGAACGTTTAGCTCATCACTAGATATTATATCAATGAGCTGATTGGCTGGAAGCAACATGAACTCTTCACTTTCCATCACCTGTTCAAAGTGAGGCAAGAATAAAAGAAAAAAACCTGTGATCATACTTAATTTATTGTCTCAATATTTTTCTTAAGGGTTATGAAGAAAAGTTCTATTCCACAATAGAGCTGAGGTTCAAAACAGTGGAGCAGAAAAGTTTAAAAGAAACAGATGGGCAGAGCTATGTTTAGGACAATGAATCTATCATGTACAGTACTACAATGGTGGATACATTACACATTGGTCAAAACGCACAAAATGTACAACATCAAGAGTGAACCCTAATGTAAACTATGGACTTGGAGTGATAATAACATGTCAATGTAGGTTCATCAGTTGTGTACCCCTCTGATGTTGATAGTGGGGGAGGTTGTGTGTGATTGTGTGTGTGTGTGTGTAGAACTCTACTTTCTGCTCAATTTTGCTGGAACCTAAAACTACTCAAAAAAAGTTTATTAATTTAAAAAAGGAAACAAAGGAGAGTACAGGGGACACAAAACTTGGGGAAAATAATAATTTATGATTCAAATAATGATTCAAATAATTTAAGACAAATGACATCTTTTTTCCCTAAAAGAAGTATCAAAATAAAAGTTTACATTCAAAGTAAACTAAACTATACCAAATTATAACTCCAGAAATATAAGAGGCATAAAAAATTCAAGAATAGCTTCCAGAGGAAGATTAGTACTGACAGAGCAGTGTCTGGGGTAGAAACACCAAGGGGCCAGTATAAACAAGAATAAGGGTGTCAGCAATTTTATAAGCAAGAATGGATACGAGGAGAATCAGACTCAGGAAAACCTCTGAAGACCAACACACGCTTATATTTATCTATACCAGTACATCTATCTCACTGATATGTGTGTGCATACATTACATATATTGCTACACACACACACCAATAACTTATCTTTACCCAGGGCTAGGGAACTAACTGTCAGAATGGAGAGGAAATGACAACAAGGATATCACCTTGTCATGCCTGCCATCCATAAATCCCAAAGCTTACAGATCTTGCCATGACTGCAGAGTACAAGGGGCAGGGTACAATGCAGGAGGGAATGGTAACCGCTACACTCCATGTGGTTTGTTCTCTCAACAGTACACATGCTACATGTGATGCCCATGTGTGCAGGAAGGATCTAGTGAAGAGGTCAATTCCCACCGTGTGACCTCTGATGCAGGTGATATATTTATTCTCTTGGGACAAGGTTATTTTCATGCTCATCAAAAAGTCAGAATATTTCCCAGAATATGAGATAAGCAACTATTTGAATATTGGATTAAGAATGTTTTTCCCAAGTACATTAGAAAAAAATGTGCATCTCAAAATAAAAGTTTCAGACCATAAAGTCAGCTATACTTATAGTAGAAAATACTAATGAACATTTCATTTGTATGACGAAAAGTTTCAAATCACCTGAGTGGGAGACCTTCTGCGGTTCAGGAAATTAAATAGGTAACATTTACATTTTAGCTAGGTTGCTTAACCAGGTAGCTTAGAATGATTGCATTGTACTCTGTGTGGCAGGACTATTAGATATAGCAAATAAAAATAGAGGACATACTTACACTAAAAGTTATTTATTTATCTGAAATTTAAATTTAACTGGACACCCTGTATTTTATCTGGCAACCCTATGTTGGAGGCTAGAAAGGCCAGGGCCAAATTTGGGGCTTCACTTCAAATTAAATGTGCTGGCCTTCACAGTGTGCAAAACTTAAGCCACGGCTGTATCCTACTTTCCTCTTTTCTTTTCACTCCGATTTCTTTACTTAAGTACAAGTAAGGTATCATATATCTTTGTGGAGTGCCTTAACATTCTTTGTGGATCTTGTCAGAGCGTAAAAATTTTCCCCAACTTAGTATTATAAACCAAATGTTATGTGTCAATGATCACCAAGTTTAAAGTTTATAAGTGAACCACCATGATATTAAATAATGATATTAAAAATGATATCACTTACTGGAAACATCAGATGGCAAGAAGACATGAAAATCTGTGTGAGAAAATATTTGTTTGGCACTAAGGACAAAGAGTAAGAATAATACTTTTGATAAGCAAAGTATGGTTAAAATGTCACTTCTCCTTTTTCACCAATAAGAAAAAGATACTGTCTACCATTAGGGCAAATCTAGCATCTATCCTGGAAACAAACAATCAGGTTAAGAAAATAATGCCCTGCCTGGCCTGTGTGGCTCATTGGCTGAGCATCAACCTATGAGCCAGGTTGTCACGGTTTGATTCCTGGTCAGGGCACACGCCAGGGTTGAGAGCTTGATCCCCAGTAGCGGGTGTGCAGGAGGCACCCAATCAATGGTTCCTTCTCATCATTGATGATATCTATCTCTCTCTTTCCTTCCTCTCTCTGAAATCAATTATATATATAACTTATATATATATTACCTTAAAATATCTGCTTTCTCAAATAAAAGTTTACAGGAGATCTGCATTTTAAGTCCCACACTATTATGGAACTTCTTTCATTGATAAAGGTTTTTTCTGGTCTTCAGTTTCTTCTTGAGTCAGTTTTTATAAATATATATATTTATATATTATCTCCTTCATGAAACAATCCCACACTCCTAATTTTCCTCTTCTCTCTATTTTCAGTTTCCTCTGCCAGCTGCTGTTCAGCTAACCCATCCTTTTGTATGGGAAAAATTTTAGGGCTTTTTTCTTCTTTCCCCGAATTAGGTGACTTCATTTGCATTGATTTTTTTTTACCTTGTTTATAGTGCTTTCGTTATTTAAAAGTTTAAAAGTTTTATGTAATCAACTTTATCAATTTTTTCTTTTATGGCTTCTGGATTATATCTGGCCTAAAAAGAATTAAGCCATAGTTTAATTACTGTGACTTAATTACTATGTTGATGACTCCTAAATTTCAATCGCATCCTAATCTTTTTATTTATTTTTATTGATTTGAGAGAGGAAGGGAGAGATAGAAACATCAATGATGAGAGAGAATCATTGATTGGCTGCCTCCTGCACGCCCCCCCACTGGGGATCAAGCCCGAAACCTGGGCATGTGCCCTTGACTGAAACTGAACCTGGGACCTTTCAGTCCGCAGGCCGATGCTCTATCCACTGAACCAAACCAGCTAGGGCCTAATCTCTTTTCTAAGATACAGACTCATATAAACAGAGGCCTACTCAATATCTCTATTTAGATATGTCACAAGTGTCTCAAACAGAATATACCTAAATCAGAACCCATTACGGATCTTACTTCCTCAAACATTTCCCCTCTCCAGTACATTTGTAGTACAAATTTCTAGAAATGGGATTGCTGAGTGTGTGCAGTAAGAGTGTAATTTTGATAGATACTGCCAAATTTCTTTTCAAAGGAGATGTATCAATTTATACTCACACTAGCAATGTAGCTATTTCCCCATGGCCTTATCAATAGAATTTGCAATCCAACTTCTGAATAATCTGGTAGATAAAAAAATAGTACTTTGTACAGTATTAATTCATGTTTCAGTTCTTATGAACAAGCTTGAGCAGATTTCCATGTTTAAGGGCAATCTGAATTTATTATTTTATTGCTCATTTTACTGGTCTTGGTTAGTGACCAATAGCTTTTGATATATTAAGATTATTGCCTGTGATATGATTTGCACATATTTGCCCCCAGTTTGTAAAGCTACTATGCCCCCAGTTTGTCTTTGACTTATTTTGTTTTACCATGCAGACATTTTTTTCATTTTATACAGTCAAATCTATCAATATTTTTTTCTATGCCTTCTGGGTTAGTCAATTAAGCCGTCTTTGCTTCAAAATTAGAAAGGAATTGATCCGTGTCATCTAATATTTTCATGGTTTCATTTGTATGTTTAAGTCTTTGAGTCACTGGAGGTTATCCTGGTGAACAGAAGAGTAATACTGAAGTGCAAAATGAACCATGTCTCTCCTTTGCTTAAAACACTTTAATGGTTAAATTTCAATTTCTTAACATGGTCTATTAACTCCAGTGCAATTTGGCTCTGTTCTTTCTGTAAAATCATTATGTAACATCCTCTCTTTTACTCTCTGGGTTTCACTAGATTTCTTTCCATTCTTCAAACTAGTTATGCTTCTTCATGTCTCAGGATTTTGCATGAGCTGTTCTAGAACCAAAGTTAAATCTCCGTAACACAGTTAAATCATCCAGGGTTTCTTCTTTGTAGCACCGACTGCTGTAATTAGTTGTGTAACTGTACGTTCACTGGCTATCTGCCCTGCTGGATTATAAACACATGAAAACAGACTCCAGGGGTCTCGTTTACTACTGCAGCCTTTGTGCCTAAGCCCAGTGGCTTAAACATAGTAGCTTTACAAATATTGAATGAATGCATGAAAAATAACAGGCTTAATGAAAAATTCTTTTGATAATATCTAATTTCAATTTTTTTCTGTTTACTCACCAAATAACCTCTGACCTATAACTTATTCTGCTGAATAATCCATATAATCAGGAAGGCCATGCTTCAGGTAAATGACTAATACCAGGTATCCTAGCAGACACACATCTCCTTATGAATTAATAAACTGTATTCTGACTTTTAAATTAGCCTTTTATGAATATGACATGACTAGGCACAATCAAGTCCTAAACTTTAACTATTACTGAGAAACACAAACTTGGACTCTAAAATAAAAACCAAGTTTAGAATTTATAACAACTTACTTATTTAATATTATTGGCAGTAGATAGCCAAGCTGCTATGTGTCAGTTAGCAGAGTGTGAGCCTACACACTCTGCTGACAAAGACATTATGAATACATTCAAACCACTAAGTAAACTCACCTCTTGAAAGTTATGTTGAGTGAACTTGTCTGCTATCCTTAGCAACTCACGACATGAATGTGTGTCAGCAAAAGCCCGAATACCAAGGCAGTTAGAGGGATCTAATTGTCTCTTTAAGAATTCGCAGCAGGCTTCCTGTATTTCTGCCAGCTGGAGGAGACAAGCAGCTGGCAGTAGGGTCTGAACATTGCCCTCTTCCACAGTTATCTGGGAGGTATATGCAAAGTCAATCAGCAGTTCCATAGCCCTCTCATCTATGTCTCGGATCACTACTTCTGTCTGCCGGCTCTCTGCCAATTCTCCTGTAAACATAGCACGGAAGTAGGGACTACAAGCTGACAAAATGACTCGGTGGGCATATATCTTCTTTGCGCCCACAACTAGCACCACATCACAGAGCTCCCGGTGCTTTCTCAGGAGGTTAATCACTTCCAAGGTTTGTCGAGGGTGCTTGTCTGAGATATAGGGCATGCGGGCAGGTTGGGGAACCCCTTCTGGCAGTTTGTTGGGGTCTCCAAGGGTGCAGCGGCTTGTTACATCCATTCCAGTCTCTCCTGGTCGAATGTTGGTGCACCTACAGGAATGGCAGGGGGAGAGGGAAGAGAAGATGGCAGTATTATTAGAAGCTCACTCCTGTCATAAAAGTATTCCTAAGTCAAGAGACAGGGAAACCTATAGGTAACCAAAAGACAGAACCAAGTCCCCAAAGAGTTCCCGTTCTAAGAACTCTAGAACTCAAAACTTTTTTTTTCATTAGCAGTGAAATATTTAATTTTTTTTATTGCTTAAAGTATTACAATGGGTATTACATATGTGTCTTTTTTTCCCCCCGCCCTTGACTATCCCCTGGCGTCCCCCACCCCGGTTCCTTCTTTTTTACAGCAGCATAGTATTCCATCATGTAGATGTACCAGTTTTCTAATCCATTCATCTGCTGATGGGCACTTAGGCTGTTTCCAGATCTTAGCTATGGTGAATTGTGCATATATCCTTTCTGATTGGAGGTTCTGTTTTCTTGGGATATATTCCTAGAAGTGGGATCACAGGGTCAAATGGGAGTTCCATTTTTAGTTTTTTGAGGAAACTCCATACTGTCTTCCATAGTGGCTGCACCAGTCTGCATTCCCACCAGCAGTGCACAAGTGTTCCTTTTTCTCCACATCCTCTCCAGCACTTGTCGTTTGTTGATTTGTTGATGATAGCCAGTCTGACAGGTGTGATCAAAACTTCTTTAAAGTCTCTCGAGGAATGAATAGTATTAATTCCAAGTCAGAGCACTTTCACTGTGAACTCCCATAAAAAAAAGGACAATTCTTTTTTCATCTCAGTAGTCAGATTAGACTGTTTAGGCCAGCGGTCGGCAAACTGTGGCTCGCGAGCCACATGCGGCTCTTTGGCTCCTTGAGTGTGGCTCTTCCACAAAATACTGACTTCTGCGCATGGGCCATGAAGTTTCAATCGCACTGTACATGCACGCCCGCACGTGGTATTTTGTGGAATAGCCACACTCAAGGGGCCAAAGAGCTGCATGTGGCTTGCGAGCCGCAGTTTGCCAACCACTGGTTTAAGCCATATCTTTTGCAACTGCCTGTACTAAATTAATAACACATTATGAAAAACATTTCTAAATTATGATCTATGGACTTTAATCCCTTAATCTGGTTTAAGCAAAATATTGATAGTTGTCATTTTTCTAAAACACATAAATGGTTATTTCTGATTATCATTGGAAGATATTTTAAATTGCTCTAAGGTTCAGCACAAACTCTGTGAAATATAGCCAATGTTGCATGAAAAGATCAGAAGGAAAATATGCCAGGGTCCAAAACCTAACTTTATATGTAGTACCGTATTTCCTTTACCTGAAGATGTCTAGAGTTTACAGTTTACACAGTCAATCACAATGTTCTAAAAAAGTGAAAAACAACAACAAAAATACTGGAAAAAAATCACAAGCACAAGTATGTCCTTGGGATGCTTTGGATAATTGCTTAGGGCCAGACATAATTCAAGGGATTCTTCAGTCTTTGAATGAGAGGAGAACTTAGAATAAAACTTTGTGATATTAAAGAATATTGAGGTATCAATTATATGGATAAATACTTGCTATATTGGCAGCTAGTAAGAAAAGCTTTGTATACCTTTAATTCAATATTCACAATTCTAAAAAGTTGTTATTAAATCAACTGTGTGTCTTACAACTGAGGAAATGTAGTAAATAACTATGCATTTACATTATAAAGGCACAAACTTAAAAATCAAGAGCATGGTTCTTCCACCAGCAACCTGTTTTTCCAAAGCACTTATACATTCAATCTTTCCACGCTTGGCCTCAGCCCACAGGTGACTGTGCATGCTAGAGTATAAACTTCATAATTCCTGACGTCTGGTGAAAATAGTACTGCATATGCTTGACAAGTGAGAGACTGAAATATAAAGCTGAGCAGTTAGATAATTTTACCACCCACATAAACAATCAAGAAGGCTTTTAGCCACGTGCATACTGGTGCCTTGTATGTAGATGCTGAAAGAATAAACCACACGGGCAACAGTGGTAGAATCAGGCTTTAAAAAACCCCACCATTAAAGACAAGACCAATTCAAAAATTCCTGTTGCAATACTGACATTGCATGTAGAAGTTAAAGCATGTTTGTTGTAACCTTAATTATGTACATAAAGATGATACTGTTGAAATCAGATAAACAATTTTTTATCTCACCTAAGTAAAATATGAAAGCTAATTTCTACATATCTATTTTTTTGAAGTATGCCATAACAAAAAAAAACCTGCTGCTATTATTGTATTAGTATAGACTCTGACTTTAAATAATGGGTAATTTCTATATTATTATAGACTATGTGGTTAACAAACTTGGAAGGAATTCTCTTGAATGTGGTCATTCTTCCAAAGTCTGTCCTCTCTGCTCTCTATACACATCTCATGGTTCCCATCACCCATGTGTGAATGGCTAAAGGAGTTTTATCTCCTATCTGGATAACCCAAGCTCATCTATCTCAATGATATATCTAAAACTGATTCCTTGATTCTCTTCCTCCATTGGTGTCTCCTCTAGTCTTCCCCAGATCAATAAAAGGCAATTTCATTCTTACATTGGCTCAGGCTAGAAATCTTGGAACCTTCCCTTTCCACACTGAAACCCAACCCATCAGCAAATCCTATCATTCTACCTCCACATAATACCGAAAATCCAACTATTTCTCTGCACATCTAACTAGCCCCACCCTAAGTCAGGCTATCCTTACCTTTTAAAAGTATCATAGTCTCATAAGTGGTCTTCTTGCTTCCACATTTGCTAATTTATATTCTCTTCTCTATACATTTATTTAGACCTTTTAATTATAAAAGACAAGATGAGGGCCCCCTGGATGATAAAGACCATTAGAATTGTTTGGTTGGCAGTATTTTTGGGTTTGTTTTGTTTTGAAATGGAAATAGAATATCATTAGGAGGACTTTTAGTTCACCATCATACTGTCTTACGTGAAGTTGTGCCATACATTGTGTGAACTACCTAAAGACCTATGAATTTGCTTTTTAACCTCTGTTATAGAGGTACTAGTATAAGGATTGTGACAAAATAAACTGTTTGGTAGAATAAAGTAACAGTAATTTTAAAGGGAGAAAGTTTTTGCGGGGGGGTGGGATGAGAAAAGACGAATTTTAAGAGAAAGGGAAATGAAGGGAAGAAGAAGAGGAAGGGAGGGAAGGAAGGGAAGGGAAAGAAAAGGGAAAGGAAAGGAAGGAAAGGGAGACTTTTAAAATGGCAGTGGGGCCTGGCTGGCTTGGATCGGTGGACAGAGCATAGACCTGAGGACTGAAGGGTCACGGGTTTGCTTCCGGTCAAGGGCATGTGCCTGGGTTGTGGGCTCGATCCCCTGTGGGGGGCATGTAGGAGGCAGCCAATCAATAATTCTCTCTCATCACTAATGTTTCTATTTTTCTCTCCCTCTCCCTTCCTCTCTGAAATCAATAAAAATATATTTAAAAATAAATAAATAAAATGGTGGTGGGTTATGATCTAAGGAGACAGCCAGTGAGAAAATGATGATGTCCAAAAAACTTTATGGCCCCCTCCACTATCTCTAAACTTTCAGTAAAACCTGAGGTATTCAATGGCAGCAGTTAATGGAGGCTAAAAAAGAGACAGTGAGGCCCTAGCCGGTTTGGCTCAGTGGACAGAGCATTGGCCTGCAGACTGAAGAGTCCCAGGTTTGATTCCAGTCAAGAGCACATGCCTAGTTGCATGCAGGTTCGATTCTCAGTGGAGGGTGTGCAGGAAGCATTTGCCCTGAAGGGTGTCCCGGATCAGGGTGGGGTTCTCGCTTGGGTGCCTGGCCAGCCTGGGTAAGGGGCTATGGGTGTTTGCAGGCTGTTCACACCCTCTTTAGTGTGGGGGTCCCCACTGGGGTGCCTGGCCAGCCTGTGTGAGGGGCTGGGGGCTTTTTGTAGGCTGGTCAAGCCCCCCAGCGGGACCCTCCCCCCTTCGGCGGTGGGCGGGGTAGGGTGGTGGGGGGGTGGGGTAGTTAGGGGTGACCAGGCAGGCAGGCGAGCAATTAGGAGCCAGTGGTCCAGGATTGTGAGAGGGATGTCTGACATTCTCCGAGTGGTCCCGGATTAAAGAGGGTGCAGGCTGGGCTGAGGGCACCCCCCACCCCGCATGAATTTCGTGCACGGGGCCTCTAGTATATATATATATAAAGAAAGACAGCGAGTATGAACCATTTTTAGAAAGAAGCTTTTCTGTTAAGAGATACAGTGCTATGTCTGCTTAAAGAAGTCAAAGACTGGAAAATAATTATATACTGACACTAAGAACCCAAAGGTGGGAGAAGTTTAAAAATATAAGCAAGAGGGGGAGAATAAATGATGGAATGAGATCCTTGAAGAGTGGGAGTGCAGAGAACCAAACCAGAGGAATGGAACTTAGATGTAAGAGATCAGAGAAAAGGTGTGGGACGGAGATAATGTGGAAACAGATACATTTATTTTGGGGTAAGGCGGTGTCAGGAATTAGGGAAGTTCATAAAGATTTCTATTTTTCTGTGAAGCTGGGAGTTGCGGGGTGGCAGGTCATCTTCTGGCTGTGAGCAGAATGGTGACAGGATTATGAGAAGAATGGGTAACGATGTGGAAGAGCTGCTGTGGGGAATCAGTTAAGACTCAGAAATATTGTTGGATAACACTGTTGGCCCAAATGATATTAAAGACTCATGAATTCCAGGTGGCTGGTTTTATCTAGTGGTAATCAACAGCCCAAATCAGAGAAAAGAAATGCCTGCATATAATTAGGCATAATAGGAATGCCTAATTAATAGGTATGCCTGAAATACCACAGACAAAACGAGTTGAATGATGGCTAGAAAATGGTTGAAACTGTGTGAAAAGAGAAGGGGCAATGGCATGTTAATTTTGACAAAGAACAGATGGAATGAACATTCAAGAGATTATGGTCAGAAAACAAGTCATTAGCATTTATGATTTCAGAGAGAGTTTTTCTGAGTGACAGTAGAAACGCACTGTGGGAGTGAGTGAAGGTGAAAGTCACAAGAATTTCAGAAGCCAAGGAAGTGCAGGCTAGGTAAATGGGTGTGTCATTCCCATGAATATTAATATATCCTAAAATCACAGTGAGGAGAAGAATCAAATCATGTGTAAACCGGAAGCATAAACCAAAAAACAAACCAAACACCTTAAATATTCTTCATGTTTACCAAAGGAATGTTACAACTCTGGTACCTCCCTAAATAAATAAAATTTCTATCCACCCAAAATTTGTGAGTCAACTTCAAATTTCAGAGCTGTCATATCACACATTCCTCAGATCTTATCATCCCAAAGTAATATTCCTCATTGAGGAAAGAGTCATTTTCTGTAAGTGGGTAAGATAAGTTGAAATCAAGCACAATAAAAAGTTTAGAAAACAGTCTCTGATTCTAAAACATTTATAATCAATTTTACCTCTTTGTCCAAAGACCTACAGAATTTTTCCTTAGCTTGGAATTATGTTCCTAAGCTAAGAACCTTTCTCTCTCTCTCAAAATCAAGACAGCGAGTGTGAGAGGGAGACAGAGAGAGAGGCATCAATGTGAAAGGGAAACACCAGAAGCTTCCTCCACACGCCCTAACAGGGACGAAGCCCACAACCCGGGTATGTTCCCTGACCGGGAATTGAACAGGCAACCTTACAGTGTACGGACGATACTCAACCAACAGAGCCACACTGGCCAGGGGTAAATGAACATCTCTCCTTTTATATTTCATACATTTTGTTTTAATTTGGAAATTAACAGCCTGAGCTTAGAAAGTAGATTCAGCTGGTTTGACCCTCACTTAAAGTCCCAAACACACTGAGAATAGAGAGAACTAGAGGTTCGAGTACAGAAATCCTTAAGACAGAAAACCCATCTGTTACTGTAAGTGCCAGTTCTGGTTATTAGAAGGGCACCTGCTAGGCACTACATCCCATACCTAATTCCACACCAGAATGCCAAGCTGTTAACCCTTAATCTGAAAACAGGTCATGAATGATTCAGCTCAAGACATCTTATCACTGCTTCTTGGACAACATAAGGGTCAGCTTGGTGCTTTGGCCGGCAGTCAAGGCAAGATGGAGGAGGTAGGGCAAACGGCCATGAAAGCCAGCTGATCTCCCTTTAGGTAAGGAAAGCAAAAACTTTCCTGCGTTCCCCTCAGCAACTTTGCCGACATCTCACGGATAACTGTTACACAGCTATCCCACAATGCAAGGATAAGACAGCAAGCATAATATTTAATTTTCTTATGTCTACAGTAAAGGGAGGAAAAGAAGGTGTTGAGCAAGGAGCACCCAGATCAAGCAATACATCTTATACTACTACTTTTAAGCAAACATTTTCGACTGACTGGAATAGGAAATTCTAAAGATCTGAATGGGATTTTTTTTTTTTTTGCATTTGAAATTGAACTCAAGGAGAAACTTGTTTGATCTTCACTGTGAGTGAAAACTGATGAAACTCTAAACACAATTAAATAAAACAAGACCCAAAGAACCTAAAACTTCTTGCCCATTTTAGAATCCTTACAGGCTTTTTGTCTTAGATCACACCTTAAATTGCACTGGTACTCCCTAGAGTTCTGTCTTTGGCATCCTTCTTTTCTGTTTTACCCTCATTCACATCTACAACTTCTAGAACCTTCTGCGCACTGACACACAATTTTTTTTTTTAATCGCCAACCCAAACTGCTCTTCTGCTCCAGACCCATATTCCAATTGGCATCTCTACTTGGCTTGAGCCAAGTGATGGTGATAAAGAAAGAGCTGTAACTAAATGGCACCAGAATTCTCCAAAATGATTTTAAGTAACTGGCAGTATTATGTAATAAAGAAGAAAAAATGAGTGTAATTAAATGAGTATTTTATATAGAAATTACTGATAAAAACATTCCCACGCTGTGCCTCTTTTTAAAGAATAATAAGCTCTTATTTTTTCAATTACATAAGATATAAAATTTATGGCAGCTGAGGATGAGAAGCAATTTGTGGTTTTTATAACCATGTTGAAGTGATGAAGTACATGTGTTGTTAATTTCATGTGCTTTTTGTCAAGTATTATTGCTACTATAGAGTAAGATATAAGTAACATAATGGCATTTGTTACATACATAACATCTTTTCATCTGGAGATCTCAAACCATTTCAAGCATTCATTATTCCCAATATCCTGATCAGATACATTAGAGGTAAATTGAGGCACAGAGAGGTGAACAGCTCAAGGTCATTAAAAAAATCAATAACAGATCTGGAAAAAGATATATTCTGATTTTTGCTCCTAGTTTTAAGTTATAAGCCATATCCCCATCATGAAATGTTTCTTTTCTTAAAAGGATCTGCCACATTGTTTATCTTTGATGTGAAATAGCAAATAATTAAGTATAGTTCAATTAATGTAAAATGAGTTTAAAAAATGAACTTGAACTGGGCTGATTTTGTTTCAATAAGGGCTCTTGTTCTAATTGTTAGAACAGATTGAGAAAAAGTATTACTGAGTTTTAGGGTTGGGAGGACCTATAATTGTCTACATTTCCCCACAAACTGTTTTTGCTTTTCTATGGACCAAGTTATTATGTCCAATATCTTTTTTAAAAAGATATTATTAATTTTTAGAGAGAGAGGAATGGAGAGAGTGATAGAAACATCCATGATGAGAGAGAATCATGATCAGCTGCCTCCTGAGCGCCCCTGGGGAATAAGCCAAAATCTGGGCATGGGCCCTGACCGGGCCAGAACCAGCGATCTCTTGGTTCCTGGGTAGAGGCTCAACCACTGACCCACACCAGTGGGGCTGTCCAATACCTTTTATACTCCTCAATCTTCCATGCAACGTGGATATTTTAATTAACAGAACAATTGTATTACCAAATATCAATGAAATAACTGAAACAATCATTAGACATTCAGTACAGTGTATTATAAATAATCATTATACGTATATGGCAACAGAACCTTCGACAGGGGATTAAAGACTGTAATCCATCCATATATCATAGTGCACTTAATGATTTTCCCCAAAAATTACCATACAAAGGAACATTTCAATATTAACAACGACACAAAATTCATACTACTCCTTAGAAATTTTTCTATATATTTCTCTATTTAAAAGCTATTAATTTCTGATATTATTGATTTCTTTTAGAACAAAAAACTTTAGTAAACTTAAAAAAAAACATTGTGAACTTTAAAAAAGATTTGTAAACTTAAAAAAAAAAATTTTAAATGAAGCCCTGAATGATCATGCGCTGGATTTCAGTGAAACCGAAGGTGTTCTTCCTAAATGCCTACCTGCGCATTGGCTTTCCTTCCATGCACCATGAAAAGTACCCTTCACCACACTCTACAGCCGAACCTAAGACAACAGAAAAGCAGCAACTTAATAAAAACTATTTCTCAGCGATACACCGTTTCACGTCCGGTTATATTACAGACCTTCTGCAGATGCACAAGCATAGCCTTTACCCAGGACCCTACAGCGGTTCTCAACCTTCCAATGCCGCGACCCTTTAATACAGTTCCTCATGTTGTGGTGACCCCCAGTTTCATTGTTACAAATTGAACATAATTAAGGCATAGTGATTAATCACAAAAACAATATGTAATTATGTATGTGTTTTCTGATGGTCTTAGGCGACCCCTGTGAAAAGGTCGCTCGATCCCCAAAGGGGTCGCGACCCACAGGTTGAGAACCGCTGCAGGTGACTCTCCTTCACCTGAATCGGCTGGAAGTGAAGGCGAGGGAACGCGCGCTCAGCAGTCTCCACCGCCAGGTCCGTCTCCCTTCAAACGGCGCTCGGAGGCGTCCCGTCTGACCTCACCGTCAGGCGCACCCTCGGCGCGCCCACCGGGTGCCCACGGCGGCTCTCACACACGAATAGGGAGCGGCCGGTTCAACAACGGACCTGAAAGCAATGAACCTGTCTGGAAGCGACAGCGGCAGGGGAGGCATTTTGCCCTTAAAAACAAAAACGCCGCCTCCGACAGCCGGGCAGCTTTAACGGTACAGAGACACGAACGCTCCAGGTTCACATTCTCTTCACCAGCCCTTCCCTGTCCGCGAAACCATGTCCACCGCCCACTCGGCACGATCGCGCTAGGTCCCCAGGGGTAAAATGGGGCGCTTCTCCCTAGTCCCAGCCCTTGTCTGGGGGAGCTGTGCAGACAAGCCCCAACCCCCAGGCGGGACAGGACAGC